AGCTCTGTTATTTCATTAAAAATGACATGACTTTTTGTATATCTCATCTGAAGATATTACTTTTAATGATCTGAACATAGCCTATAATCATTATTACATAACATGTATTTTCAGATAAACCTAAGTTTGCTAGCAGCAAGGGATCGGCAACCTATTCTCTGGTTAAAGTCAGCACCAAGAAGAAACCGACAGAGATCGCCTGCATTGGAGTTAGCGCTGATGGAAAGAGATTGGCCGAAGGCAAAATAACTCTGGTTAAGAAGAAGAAGAAGAGTAAGCCCGCGAAAGCAAAGAAACCAAAAAAGGCAAAGGGTTAGAGTTTGGAGAAGGACTTTGAGAAAACATCTTTAAAGTAAATAGACTTATTGTTAGATGTTGACGTTGCAATTCGAAATATTTAGATTTTTCTGCATTTAGAAAAAATGATGTTTCTCTTCTTATCAATAAAATCTAAACTCAACCGTTCCAGCTCCACACCGTTAGCTTGCAGACAGCATGTCACGTGTAGATGAGCATAGTTTACCTTATGTATGATGGCATACCATTAGTTTAGCATACTAAGATTTGTACCTCTCCCTCTGCCCGGAGCCAAAACCGACCAGTTTTGTAAAGATCTCGACACTTCATTAGTAGCTACTTAGTCTAATGACACATAATGGGCATAGTTTAGCATATTTTGTCTAAAATTTGTGCCTCTTCCTTTGCCAAGAGGCAAAACCGAGCAGTTTTGGAAATATCTTGAGGCATCTGCCCTTAGATTGTGTTTGTAAGCACAGCCATCAATTGATGTTTTCTGCTTCGTTCTGTCATTATATTATGTACCCTAACCCTGCATCAGAGGGACTCATTACACGATAGCTGTTACCTTGAAAGAAACCTCCATTTGAAGGTGTCTGCTTCAAACTGACACACCACGATCTTACTTATCGCCATAACTGAATTTAGTTCAACTTGGCACACAAAGCATAGGGAACGTATAGATAACACAAATAGTATTATAGGTTAAACTGGGTTTGATTTAGCTGTTAAATCCGAAAAACGGCCCAAAACGGACCGTTTAACCTAATTAAGCAGAAAATATTGGTTAAAGTATTATGTCCGTTTTAGCTATTAATTCCGCCTTCCTTGTACCTAGGAACTGAATCCGGTTCCAGCTTAAATATCCGGTTCGGTTTCCAAGAATTTGGCCGGATATCAACCGGAAATTTCTTTTAAAAATCTTCCTGAATGTATATTTTTGTTGCTAAGGGGCATCCAGTCAGTGCTCTAAGTGAACAATGAATTCATAGAAGCTTTTTATCTGTCAGCGAATGTTAAAGAGTAGAGGGTTCCTGCTTCATTGTGGTAAGCAAACCCGTTGCTAACTCCCGTTATAAAAAGGATTAAAATAAATGCCATTATGCCATTAACAAAATAAGGGCACTATCCTCAGTTACATCGTGGTCACGAACTGGCGAGAGCTGGATTTTGGGCTTTACTTCTAGAATTTCTACACTTGTGCTACGCAAAACGCAGTGAATTCTTGAAATGTCCATTTTGATTTTATTTCTAGCTCTGCTCATATCAGTGCTCGCACAAGCCACAACATATCAACCAGTGACTGCTGCTCGCAGAGCAAATTTGAAATAGGGTATGAACACAGTTAGTCGAACTGTAAGCATTCAGCTTGTCTTATTGTGTCCACATGGCTTTCAATATTTAATTGCACTGGGAGACTTTGGGTCAGGAAACTGATCCGGCCCCCAAGAGGGGTCAGATCACGTCACCAATTAGTGACGTATAATTAGTGATGTGATCCATGGATTGAATATAATTGACATAGAAATGGGCTAGATCTGGGGTAGAGTTCACAAGTCATGTCAATTCTGTAAATCATAGCTGTACATTAAGAAGTAAACATGATGTGACTGTTCGACTCGTAGATCACATAAGGGACGGGAGCTCTTGCTAAAGGGGGGTGCAGGTGAGACGTACGTGCCAAAGGCATGCAAGAGGAGTGAGCCGATCAAGTGTTCCTAGGTATATATATACTGTAGTAGTATCGCAATCTATCAACAGTCATGCCTACCTTCTCCAAGTTCCTTAATGGTCATGGTTTCAGAGGATGTGCTTGATTCTGACGGATATATCTACAGCATGAAGCAATCGGAACTCCGGCAGCCAAAATCCCAGACCGGTCGGTTCCTAAACTCGTTCATTATTTATCTGCTAGAGCTAGAGCTTCTTTAATCTTTATAACACAGACAGAGTGTGTAACTCTGATATTTCTTTACTCTGTTGAGGTAAGTACTGGTATTCACTACTACAATACCATTAGTGGAGGTAAGCCCACTCACTTAAAAAGAGATCCCCAGTTGGCTTGGCTACATTATGAGGGTGGGTGAATGCGACGAATATGTTGCAGGTCTTTGCCTGGGGTCAATATTACCGAGATGTCTCAATTTTTACACACGTCCTTTACTGTGAAAGTAAGCAGTGGGCTACTAGGTCACTAATAATATTGGGACAGCTGCAAGGGAGTGGGCTTACCTCAACTAATGGTATTGTAGTAGTGACTAGTCTGTTGAAAAGTGATCTGTATGTAGGATCAGAGAAGCAATGGCCATATTATGCCCTTGTGGTCTTGGTGGCTCAACAGTTGTTGTTATTTTATAGCTTGCGGCCCGGCAAGGAACCATTTTATACCGTCTAGTATTTACCATAGAAAACTTATTCCCCCTACTTATGTTTTTTATCCGTTTTTTTCCGCCCTAATTTTTGTCCGTTTTGGAAATATAGGGTACCGAACGGACAAAACGGACACAAAACATGAGCCCCCACCCCCCCCCCCCAATATGAAGGGAGGCCGACAAAGGGGGGCCCTCCATTATTAGAGGTCAGATCATATGACGTATAATTAGTGGTGTGACGTATAATTAGTGATGTGATCCATCCATGTGATCCATCAGTAGACCCAGAAATGAGCTAGATATAGGGTAGAGTTCACATGTCAATTCTGTAAATCATAGCTGTACATTAAGAAGTAAACATGATCTGACTGCTCGACTCGTAGATCACATAAGGGACGGGAGCTCTTGCTAAAGGGGGTTCTCGTATCAAGGGATGTGAGACGTACGTGCCAAAGGCATGCAAGGAGAGTGAGCCGATCAAGTGTTCTTAGGTATAGTGATTCAACGTTCCAGAGCTGCAGCGTCAGGATCCTCCCAGCACCAGGAGGCTACTACCTCAGAAGACTTTACTCTCCCTCCTACATGTACTTCCACCAGAAGAGATGAACCCTTTGTCCTCTTTGATGGTTCTACAGATCGGGGAGTCAGAGTCATCGTATTCTCCACGAGCAGGAACATGAAGACACTGTCGGAGCACTCAGACTGGATAGCAGACGGCACTTTTTATGTATCACCGAAGATCTTTCCTCAGTCTTACACCATCCACTCAGTTGTAGACAACAAATGTGTGCCTTTAGTTTATATTTTAAGTGGTGACAAGAAAGGGGACACTTATGAATTTGTTTTAGATGTTATTAAGCACTATTTTGACCAGCATTGTCCGGTGGACACTGGTACCATTTTAGTAGATTTCGAGAAAGCTGTTATGAATGCTTTTATGAAGAGTTTGCCAGGATGGGATGTGAGCAATTGCTACTTTCACCTCTGTCAAGCTGTTCAAAAGAACATTCAGAAGAATTTTAAGAAGATTTACTTTACAGATAAACTGTTTGCCAGAGCTGCAAGGCTTGTTGTATTTCTTGCTTTTGTTCCAGTGGCTGATGTCGAGGAAGTCTTCTACGAAATAACTTACTATATACAGACAAACTATCCTAAGCTAATGTCTATAGTGAATTATTTTGAGAAGACTTACCTTGGGTCAGTCATTGTGGACAGTGAGGTGAGGCTTCTCCCTGCATATCCCTTAGGATTCTGGAACCATTTCGCCAGAATCATTCGGGATCCGGAGTTCCCTCGAACCTCGAACATGGTTGAGGGCTTTCACAGAGGATTTAAATCCCGAGTGCATCGCCCAAAGCCCTCTGTTCAAGAGTATGTGAGAGCTATCAAAGAGCAGCAAGTCATCACTGACTTTCACATCGACAGGTTGAGTGTTGGCAAGACACCCGCTAAGAGGCGAAGGAATTGCCATACCCAACCGATATGTAGTAAATTATAATTAATGTATTCAGTATTCAGTATTCAGTATTCAGTATTCAGTATTCAGTATTCAGTATTCAGTATTCAGTATTCAGTATTCAGTATTCAGTAAATTTGATTAATTATCCTACGAAAAAATGTCTATTGACTTGTTAATTTAAATCAAAAGTACGGAGTTAAACTGGGCTAGATATAGGGTAGAGTTCACATGTTCTGTAAATCATAGCTGGTGGATCACATCACTAATTATACGTCACATCACTAATTATACGTCATATGATCTGACCCCTAATAATGGAGGGCCCCCCTTTGTCGTGCAGCCAATATGAACTCTACCCCAGATCTAGCCCATTTCTAGGTCAACTATATTCAATCCATGGATCACATCACTAATTATACGGCACAAGCTTCAAGCTTGTATGTTAATTACTTGATGACGTATATGGTGGTCATATCACTCCTGACCCAAGGTCGGGCAGCCTTTAATTGATAAAAACCCACAATCAAGGATTAATTTAAATTTTCCGGCAGCCTCAAATTTCAGGCAAAATCCGGCAAACCAGAAAATAAATTGATACCCGGTCGTTTCCGGTCCGACAATATAATGAGGTTTTAATCAATAATAGACTTGTTTCATATTTCACAGTGGGAGGTCAGCCCTATCTGTTTTGACACGTGGTACGGATTCGAGAATATGATCACTATCGCAAGCTGATCGATTAATAGCTGACTCGTGCCAGCAAATAACATGGTCCCCTCTAACTCTCTAAACCCCAGACTAAAGATTACACATAAGTAAGCAAATATTAAAGTAGACAAATGACACGAACTCACTGTACTAAATCAACCAACCTGGAGTAAGTAGACAAGAGTGGTAGGAATAGCGTAGAATATCGTTAGCGATATGTTCAACATACACAATAGCACAATCGTCAGCACGTGCAGCAACAACACGAACTGAAATTAGTGGGGCTCAACTTACCTTACTATTGTTAACCTACGGAACCAGATTTCGTCTACTAAACTTTTCTTTATTCTAGTCTTTATTCTAGTCTTTATTCTAGTCTATAAGCAGAGACTAGACAATCGAGAGCCTCCTTATATACCTTCTAAGAGAATAAAGATATCAATGATCATTGACCATTGTGATCAGTGCTTAGTATGGGGTTACATAGGAGTAAGGATGTTTCAAATAGTTCACCCATGCCCCAGCTAAGCAACTTTAGACTCACGAGCAGTCCAATCGCTGCTTGGTTTGATATGCTTTGCTTATTGTAAGCCGTTCCAGAAGCGAACTTTTTATTTCGAGGCCAATGTAAAACGCAATATTGGCCGTGATTTTCTTTGTCGTACAAAAATCAACCCACACTTTGCAGCAGTTGCAGTCTGTGTACTTTCACCGGACTGTATGTCCATTAACTCTGTCTAAGTTAGACTGGGTACACCGTACACCGCAGTATCCGTGATTGATTGATCAGAGTTACGGTTAATTTGGCGCCAATCAAAGCTATATAGCGCTTAAAAGGATACGACGTGCGCGCTTGACAAAAGGTAATTATGAGATCGCGCGGCCCGCAAACTCAACATTTTCAGTGGTACCGATCTCTAATGGCAATTTCTTGCGAATTTTCTCTACTGTCACGATGGAAGTTGTTATCTTATGGACTACTTTAGAACACAGAAAGTTTGATAAATGAGAGCACTCCGAGAGACAAGAGCCTCCAGATAATGTTTATTGTCATGTTGACGGTGGCATTAAAGGTGAATAAACCCGGATATGGCGTGCCCAAAAATGTCATAATTAGTTTGCAGGGGCCCCTTCACGCCCCTTGGCCTTGATATATGAATACTAGTTAACAGGAGAACAGACTACAGGTTAAGAGAAAAGAAGGGAAATATCTTAACAGCTGGTGTAAGCAATCGTGATGACTCAATATTATGGACATTTCCTTCGTGGCTCAATTTGAAATATGTGATTCAAACACATGATGTTAACAACTGATGTCTTGAGGCAGTCAAATTTCGGGGCCTAAGGTGAAAACCCTCGTATCACAACCCTTTAAAAATAAAACCAGGTTCCAGCAAGATGGATGGAGTAAGATAACTGCGAATTGAAATTTTGTCTTGAATAAGAGAAATAGGAAGTAGATAGTGAAATTGAGGAGATCATTGGTGACTACTCACTACTGTTGATAAGGCGGTGTGCTTGAAGTAACCAGTTGGAAGCTGATACGTACAGATCAGTGCGTATCAGTGCGTATGTTAGTGCGTAAGTATCAATCTCAAAGTCAGGATTTGTGGCCGGCAGTATCGCGTCGTTTACTGCTCAGTTTATTAACGGGAGATGTTATTTGTGTTTTGTTGTACGGCTGGCCGGCTTTGTCGGAAATAGTTTGTTAATTAATGCTACCGTTATTTATCGTACGATACCTAAAGTCTAAACTCACTGAATAGTATTTGAATGCTCTAGTTCACAATACGCACTTCTATGGTGGTCTTACAGTTTTAATTCCTTTTTCTCTTTCAAATCAAAGGAAATGGAAATAGTACGCACATTCCACTATTGTCAAATGTTATCAATAACCTGGTACTTACAGCTTGGTGAAGTCTCCAATCTTCTCTTACTTTAGTGAGCACCACACTAGACAATACCACAGCCTGTGTAGCAACCAGCACATACATCATGTTACTTTGAGTTAGCACGGAGGTAGCAAGCTGGTTTATCAGTCCGAACAGAATACCGTGGATTAGCGGGTACACACAGTCTATCGTATTGACATCTGAAATTGTGAACATGTCAATGGTTGATAGTGAAACCTGTCAATTTGAAAATGTTAAGGTGGAAATGTTGAGTTGCTTAAATTTTGTCAATTGTGACTTGCAATCCATCTTTAGTATCGTTCACGAATTACTGAGCCAGATGGAGCAGTCAAAGGGAGGAGCACCTATAATCAAGCGGTTCCCTCTCAGTGGCTACTACGGTACACAATTCGTAAACTTTGAATGGTCCTCCTCTACTGAAGTGTAGTCATGGTCACCAATTGTAGCTTTGTAGTCATGGTAACCAATTGTAGTCATGGTCACCAATTGTGATAGTTATTATATTCCATTCGTCTCTTACAGTTACAAGAAATTAATGATACATTTAATCCGGCCCACACTATAGAGGTGCTTTTCAATAACCCGTAAATATCAAAATCATCTAGATAGTTTTTAACTTCGTCAGGTTTTTTCTTGCGAAGTGGATTCATTTATTTAGTTTATATTCTTAAGGGTATTCCCGTATGCGTATTCACCTATTCATACACCTATTCTGGTTAGGAATCATGTTTGAAGAGAATGACTTTTGATTTTATCCCAACGCGTTTCTAGCTCTGCTCATACAGCAGATCAATCAGAGCAGAAAATTGGTTAAAATTTGAGATCATGAACACATTTAGTCGGACTGTAAACGCTGTCTTATTGTGTATAAGTAAGTATAGTAAGTCTATAGGGGGGGGGGGGGGGGTGTCATGTCCGTCTATGTCCGCCTATGTCCTGTCCTTTTTGGATTCTATGAGACAACGGACGTGTTTTTGGGACATTGGCGGACACGGACGGACATTGGCGGACTCGGACGGACATTGGCGGACTCGGACGGACATTGGCGGACTCGGACGGACATTGGCGGACCCGGACGGACATTGGCGGACTTGGATGGACATTAGCGGACATTGGTGGACATTAGCAGACAAACATTTTGAGGACTGAAGAGTACTGAAGAGTACTGAAGAGTACTGAGGAGGATGGCTGAGAAGGATGGCTGAGTAGGATGGCTGAGGAGGATGACTGAGGAGGATGACTGAGGAGGATGACTGAGGAGGATGACTGAGAGGGAGGAGAAGGATCAGGAAGAACCAGGAGGAGGAGGAGGAGGAGGACCCAGAAGGAGGACCTAGGAGGAGGAGGAGGAGGAGGAGAACTGAGGAGGATGACTCAGGAGGAGGATGACTCAGGAGGAGGACTGAGGAGGACTGAGGAGGATGGCTGAGGAGGATGGCTGAGGAGGATGGCTGAGAGGGAGGAGGAGGAGGAAGAGGAAGAAGAGGACTGAGGAGGAGGAGGAGAAGGACTGAGGAGGAGAAGGAGGACCCAGGAGGAGGAGGACCCAGGAGGAGGACCCAGGAAAAGGCCCCAGGAGGAGGAGGAGGACTGGGGAGGAGGAGAACTGTTGAGGACTGATGAGGAGGACTGAGGACGAGGAGGAAGAGTAGGAGGAGGACTGAGGAGGGGAGGAGGAAGAGGACTGGGGAGGATCAGGAAGACCCAGGAGGCTGGAGGACCCAGGAGGAGGAGGAGGACCCAGGAGGAGGAGGAGGACTGAGGAGGACTGAGGAGGATGGCTGAGAAGGATGGCTGATGAGGATGGCTGAGGAGGATGACTGAGGAGGATGACTGAGAGGGAGGAGAAGGATCAGGAAGACCCAGGAGGAGGAGGAGGAGGAGGACCCAGAAGGAGGACCTAGGAGGAAGAGGAGGAGGAGGAGGAGGAGATTTCAGGAGGATGACTGAGGAGGAGGAGGACTCAGGAGGAGGACTGACGAGGACTGAGAAGGAGGAGGACTGAGGAGGATGGCTGAGGAGGATGGCTGAAGAGGATGGCTGAGGAGGATGGCTGAGAGGGAGGAGGAGGAGGAAGAGGAAGAAGAGGACTGAGGAGGAGGAGGAGAAGGACTGAGCAGGAGAAGGAGGACCCAGGAGGAGGAGGACCCAGGAGGAGGACCCAGGAAAAGGCCCCAGGAGGAGGAGGAGGACTGGGGAGGAGGAGAACTGTTGAGGACTGATGAGGAGGACTGAGGACGAGGAGGAAGAGTAGGAGGAGGACTGAGGAGGGGAGGAGGAAGAGGACTGGGGAGGATCAGGAAGACCCAGGAGGCTGGAGGACCCAGGAGGAGGAGGAGGAGGAGGACCCAGGAGGAGGAGGAGGACTGAGGAGGATGGCTGAGAAGGATGGCTGAGGAGGATGGCTGAGGAGGATGACTGAGGAGGATGACTGAGAGGGAGGAGAAGGATCAGGAAGACCCAGGAGGAGGAGGAGGAGGAGGAGGACCCAGAAGGAGGACCTAGGAGGAGGAGGAGGAGGAGGAGGAGAACTCAGGAGGATGACTGAGGAGGAGGAGGACTCAGGAGGAGGACTGACGAGGACTGAGAAGGAGGAGGACTGAGGAGGATGGCTGAGGAGGATGGCTGAAGAGGATGGCTGAGGAGGATGGCTGAGAGGGAGGAGGAGGAGGAAGAGGAAGAAGAGGACTGAGGAGAAGAAGGACTGAGCAGGAGAAGGAGGACCCAGGAGGAGGACCCAGGAAAAGGCCCCAGGAGGAGGACCCAGGAAAAGGCCCCAGGAGGAGGAGGAGGACTGGGGAGGAGGAGAACTGTTGAGGACTGATGAGGAGGACTGAGGACGAGGAGGAAGAGTAGGAGGAGGACTGAGGAGGGGAGGAGGAAGAGGACTGGGGAGGATCAGGAAGACCCAGGAGGCTGGAGGACCCAGGAGGAGGAGGAGGACCCAGGAGGAGGAGGACTGAGGAGGACTGAGGAGGAGGACTGACGATGACTGAGAAGGAGGAGGACTGAGGAGTACTGAGGAGGATGGCTGAGGAGGATGGCTGAGGAGGATGACTGAGGAGGATGACTGAGAGGGAGGAGGAGGAGGACTCAGGAGGAGAACTCAGAAGGAAGAGGAGGAGGACTCAGGAGGAGGACTTAGGAGAAATGAGAAGGAGGACTAAGGAGAACTGAGGAGGAGGAGGAGGAGGACTGAATAGGAGGAGGAGGAGGAGGGGGACTGGGAGAGGACTGGGGAGGAGGAGGACTGATGAGAAGGATGAGGAGGAGGACCCAGGGGGAGGAGGACTGAGGACCGAGGGGGAAGAGGAGGAGGATGAAGAGGAGGAGGAGGACCCAGGAGGAGGAGGACTGAGGAGGATGGCTGAGGAGGATGACTGAGAGGGAAGAGGAGGAGGAGGAGGAGGAGGACTGAGGAGGACTGAGAAGGAGGAGGAGGAGGACTGAGGAGGACTGAGAAGGAGGAGGACTGAATAGGAGGAGGAGGGGGACTGGGGGAGGACTGAGGAGGAGGATGGAGGACTGAGGAGAAGGATGAGGAGGAGGACTGAGGACTGAGGAGGAAGAGGAGGAGGATGAAGAGGAGGAGGAGGACCCAGGAGGAGGACCCAGGAGGAGGACTCAGGAGGAGGAGGAGGACTGGGGAGGAGGAGGACTGTTGAGGACTGATGAGGAGGACTGAGGACGAGGACGAGGAGTAGGAGGAGGACTGAGGAGGGGAGGAGGAAGAGGACTGAGGAAGATCAGGAAGACCCAGGGGGAGGAGGAGGAAGAGTAGGAGGAGGAAGCATCTAAATGTTATTTCCATTTTTGTCCGTTTTGTCCGCTCTATTTTTTGTCCGTTTTGAAAATATAGGGTACCGAACGGACAAAAAACATGATCCCCCTATAGCAGCAAAAATTGAACATTTTATTTAGCAATTTAGGTGACCATTAATGTCCGCCTATGTCCGCCTATGTCCGTCTATGTCCGCCTATGTCCGCCTATGTCCGTCTATGTCCGCCTATGTCCTGTCCTTTTTGGATTCTATGAGACAAGCGGACATAGACGGACGTGACACCCCCCCCTCTATATGGCTTTTAGTATTATATTCATAGTTTGAAAAAAATTTCACAAATAAGGATTAATTTCAATTTCCCGGCAAGAAAAAAATCTTGATTTCCGGTCGTTTCCGGTCCGGCAGCCAAAACCCTCATACCGATCGGTTGCTTCTCATACTCGAATCAAATCTTACTATATATAAAGCGAGACGATATTATATATTATATAATTTATCTGTGCCATTTTACTGACACCACGGCATCAACTTTAACGCAAATTTCCGCAAAAACCGTAAAATATATTCAACTGAAACTTTTTTGACTGGGTCAAATGCTTTAATGGCCTCCAAATCAGCATGAAAAAATAAAAAATTGGCCAAGAAATAGAAGTTTTAGACCCCAAAATTTGGACCCCCAAGTGGTGTCAAAAACGCGAATTAAATAGGTAATAATTATTTTGGTCTCTTGAGTCTTGACACCATTTTAGGGTTATACGGGTTCCTGCTAGTGTATTTAAAGGTTTAACTGTATACTAATTCATCAATTAGAAGTGAATTATTTTCAAATCCTTGAATGCTTCGATCATTATAGCTACTTATTTTCATTTTAAGTATCAAACCCTCAGGAACTGTTAAATGTACTATACTACAGTTCTATCCCCCACCGGACATCGTACGACTGAAAATACGTGGATTTTAAACGACTAACTCTTAGCTCCAACTGAACCTCCATTCTTCAGTGACGTCATTCTTCAGAGCTTCAGTGACGTCATTCTTCAGTGACGTCATTCTTCAGTGAAGTCATTCTTCAGTGACGTCATTCTTCAGTGACGTCATTCTTCAGTGACGTCATTCTTCAGTGACGTCATTCTTCAGTGACGTCATTCTTCAGTGACGTCATTCTTCAGTGACGTCATTCTTCAGTGACGTCATTCTTCAGTGACGTCATTCGTTATCTCACGTGCAGTAGTCCGGTGAGGCTCTTTCTACTTTCTACTTTCTACTTTCTAGCTTTGAGCTCCTAATTCCTCCGCAAGACTACGCTTGTTATATCCGCATTACAATGGTCCAAGCTCAGGTAGCATTTGGATAATTTATGTCAAGTTAATTGTCCCGCAAAACAGACTTGGAGTTAATAATCATGAACTGGGCCGTTTTTTATTGTGATGCATGGCAAAGCGCTGCTTGGCAAAGTGGAGTTGAGCCCATTAGCCGTCTCCAAGGGTAGGATCTTATGAATAACTAAACGACCTTTCTGCGGTCATTTGGTCAATCATATAATGGGCGGTTGAGAACGCTTATCTTGCTGCCAAATCTGCCATTTATTCAGATCTTGTTTTCCGGTTAGATAGTATAAAACCCAGACGTCAACCTTGGCAGTTGGCAGGGCAGAATTTTAAGACGAACCCAAGTATCGTTCTTAATAATCCAACCTGTAGTTTAATTGCTGGAACTTTGGTTATTTTCACATAACCGCTCGATTGTCTTAGATCCTATAACAACCAATTAATATAATATAATAAATAAGAGGCAAGCACAGCGTATACACGTCATGCTGACATGAGTACATAGTAGCAAGGTTGTTAAATACGTATTAGGAGGGAATACGTATTGGAATACGAATACGTATTAATCCTCGAAAATTGACGTATTACGACGTATTCTTTATTCAAAAAATTCAAAAATTCAAATATGTTGAGGGGACTGAACTTTAGAAAATGGTCTTAAACTTTGATAATTGCGAGATCGTTTTAGGAAACGAAATCATTAAATATGTATTAATATGTAATTGATAATTTCGCAAAAAATGTTAGCTTATTATCCATGAAATTTGATTACAAATTTAAGTTATCATGTATAACTGCACTCCTTTAATGCATGATCAATGATGAGGGTGGCGCGCAGCTGTAATGTTTAATTTTGACAAATCAGCGTATTACGGCGTATTATGGCGTATTCGTGGACGTATTTAACAATCCATAGAAATGACCGTATTCCGGCGTATTACGACGTATTCTTTATTAGAACCGAATACGTCGTATTCTTTCACGAAAATTTGACGTATTTAACAACCTTGCATAGTAGAGCCCATGTATTCAATAGTTTAAGTTCCTTGTGTGTTGTTTCATTTACCACACGGAGCGCAGCAAGGATAAGTCATAACTTCTGTTGTGAAGTAAGGTACGCTATAATATTCGTTCTAGATATATTATGATATTTCGTAAGTGTTTAACGATGTCTTTCGATGTGACTCATTGTTTTCATTACGGTCATATTGATAGTGGGCCGTAGGGCCCTTAACTTAGGTAGACAAGTTAATGTTTTAGCGAATTATAATCGTATAAAGGTACCAATTTGGCAATCTGTTTTGAATGCAATAGTTTGATAAATGTGACTCACCAAATGTAAAATGTGACTCACCGATATCAGAAAAGAACATCTTAGCTCCGACAACATCAGATTTAGTTCCACACTGGAACCACAAACTGAGAACTTTAGCAGCAGCGGAGGCTAGAAGCAGTCCACATGGTATCATGTAAACACTTAGACACACAAACCTCTCTATACACGGCTGAAGATAGCATTTTTTATCAAACTTTATTCTGCATCGAGCTTTATCTTTTCTTACGATAATTAGAATCGTACGAGCAGAATGGCGCTAGCGAATAAGGTAGATTTTGCTTTTTATATGATCTGAGAAAATAGATCTTATCTAAGATTATCTTACCATGAGATAGAAGTAATAAGCAGTGTGGAACTGCTCCTCCAGATTATTAACGCTGCGCAACACACTCTCAGTAAAGCGCCCAATGTGTTGCCAGGAGAACCTGTTGCGTCGCAGGACACTTTCAGTTTGCACTCCTACTGCGTGGATGTTGTAGGGGTGGTACAGGGCGCTGGGAAACGATACCCGTCCAGCTGCCTGCAAATGTTTTATCATTTTCAACCATTCATTTTTTACATCCTCATTGCAAAGTCATGACCGTGCCTATATTACGATATTGTGACAATTGTAGTTGCATCTGATGAATCTACTCATGATGAGAGTTACATTCTAATATTCTAATCGGCAGATACTTTAACAATAAGCCTGCCGCGTGATATTTCATATTATCTATTCTTTTTACTTAGCCCATAATCCTCATCACAAAGTAAGTCAGTGGCTCTATCAATACTGCACTGTTGTGACGTAGGATACTAGTTACCACAGACTTACTCCGAAAGATTACAATATTACCAAACATTAGTGCACTATTATACCTGCCAGGCCATGTTTGCGTGGAGTCCGAGGAGGTTTCCCAGAAAATCACCGATATCATGCGGCGCGTTGCGCAACAATAACTCTATCCTCTCTTGTCTGCAGATCTGCCTCACTAAAACCACCTGGAATTATGAAATAACAAAAGCTGTAATATCTAGTATTGGACATAGTAACTATTCTCTGGTCTCGGTCTATAGCTACTCGGGATATTTAACTCATTGCTAAAAGCGCTACAAAAGACTCGATGGTGCTTTGATTTGAATCAGCAACTCATATGTCGACATGTTTTTTCTGCATCGTTAGAGGTAGCAAGTGTTACCTAATTTTCTGTCGGTCACAGAAAATATTTTACTCTTATTGTATATTTGTCACATATTTTCATGTTGCCTTTAATTATCGATTCTTATGTAATAAGTACAGTCGCCTAGAGGTCATTTTCATTATTTGTGAGCCTTTAATACTATCGATAGGTTCCCAAGTCCCATGTGTGTGATTATAGTATAGATTTATTCAAAACCATCAATCTCTTAATGCATCAACCTTATTCAGTGATATTTACTATTATGCTATCATTTTAACCCACTATTGAAATGTTATAAAGTTAATATTTCTGTGCTTTCGATTTTGGGTTCCTTTGAAGAGATTAGGCAAGTGAGGACAATTCATAAAATATGATCCTAGCACTTCCTCCGCCTTTGATCCAAAATTAACATTTTTAAATCCTCCCTATTCTGAGAACGAATGATAGCTCTTCAAGAGCTGCACTGCACTTGTCATGTAATATAGGTTTAATCTCTGAAAAGCTGCAATGAGTAGTCAGTGAGTGGTAACTTGAGACGGGATTTGTATTCTGAGAGAGGAGTGAGCTTGTTTGTTTAGTGACGGATTGTTGTGTTGTCATGGTTACTGTACAAGACACGCGACGGATTTCATTTTCCTGTCATAAAATCCACCTCGCTCTCATAACTATCTTTGTTTTATAAATGAGTTTTATAAACCTTGATACTACTTTGTCGTGACAAATTTGTTTGATCTTGTGAGTCAGCATGTACAATTTTGATATAGCAGTCCGATTGCAAATAAGCTCCGATTTTTAATGACCGATGCAAATGTTATGTTGTTCCTTTAATGAAAACTATTTTACCAATACTGACGCCGTTCATTTCTGAAATTATTGTGTTACGTACGCAATGCTGTCACTTTTATTTAACATTATATATACACGCTTATCCCCTAGAAAAGTTATTAAGTTATCGGTCAACAAAAACATCGCACGAGCGATATTTTATTTTCTGTCTAATTCGTCATATATAATCCCTTTCAACAACTCTGAGTTTAAATGTTTCCCTAATTTACTCCATAACAAGTAACCATAGTTCACACTGCTGATTATGTGATCTGGTTTTAAGCAGGCTAAATTAAAGTTTCCGACATTTTGCATTTAAATACCTAACTAAAATGTTGGCAGTCCCAGGCAAAAGAACTTTTTGACTGTAACTGTATCGTAGATTATCTTTAGAACGTGCCTTAAACTCAGCTCTAGTAAGACCAATTGAATAATAAAATTCAAATATTAACTGTCATTTAACTACAGCTGATATTCTGAATAGCAAATAAGTACGATACAGTATACGAAAGTGAACCTAAAGATACTAATGCGGGTGTTATTGGCGGTCAGTTTATTACTGTACCAGGCTCTGACCAAAGATACTGTGCCAGGTCTGCACTCTGCTTCTTCTTTAATATCATACTATAATCTGACGATTATTTTACCAAAAAAAATTTCTAGGTTATAACATGTAGCGTCACAACGTGGTCAATGTTTATAATCAAGCTAGGCTTGGCATTTAGGCATTAGTGAAGTAAAAACAAATAACTAAACCTGGTAATTTCCAGATTGGTATCCCGTGGAAAGATCTAAGTGGTTAAATTTAAAGAGTTATGACCTGACAGCACATATTCTAAAGTTTCGAACCTTGAAAGCAGAAGCACCAAAGGAGGAGGTCAAGGTCGCTTTATATAGCCCTAGCCAAGAGAAGACATATTACTGGGTGTTGAAATTCAGAAACTCCTCGTTTGGGTACGCCTATTTTTGTGCGGATGACAAAAAAGATGCAAAAGTAATCGGCGTCCATTTTGATGACGAGTTTCTGTCATGGGAGCTGCATAGTAATGGTGATGTTATGTTGAACGGAGCAAAGTTGACATCAGGTTGCTCCGACAGTTGGAATGGGCTTAATGTAGATGATATCAATATTCAAGTCGTGGGCAATATTAAACTAGAAGTGACACCACCGCAAGGTTGGTTAACGTTAAAGATGTTCTAGATCATATCATAATTAATAATTATATTAGGTCTTATATTGCACTTAACTTTAAGTCAGTCCCTCATAATCACGTATTTAATCATTGATTAACAATTTCGAGTGGCGAATGTTTTGCTTTGAAGCTGTAGTGTACAACAGTAAAACCGGTAATAGATAAATTAAAAAACTGCTAGATAATTGAAAATTGTGACGAGTCACAACAATATATCTCTTGCAGGAGCAACAAGATGTCCTGCGGACAAACCTTACGCCCATAAGGACGGGAGAAAATGCTGTCCTGAGCTAGTAGGGTTTACCGATGAAACGTGCTCTGGAAGTATCAAATGTCCAAATGATGAAGGAGCAGCGTGGCCGTGTTTTACCAACCTTGAAGAGGGTAAGTTACTCTCACACAACAGGAAAAGAAAGATGACATAATTATTGTATCTCGCGGCAGAAAAACGATAATGATATTACCTACAGTACCTTTTGTTATTATTTTCATAGCATTTTATAATTTTTTCAGTTAAGCACTGCTCAGAGATAAGTAACGTTTCTCCGGTAATCAACCGGTCACCCCCCGGCACGAAAGTAACAATCCATTGTGAGAATGGTTACGTACTTCAAGGAGAAAGAGTACTATCATGTACACCCACCGGGACCTGGAGTGAATCTCCACTCCCTTTGTGCACAACATATGGTAAGTTTTTTTCCCAAACGTTTCGTGAACTCTGTAGGTAAACTCCAGTCAAGTGAGATAAGCCATTACGTGGTGCAACAGAGGATAAAATTTGAAAACAGGGGTTGCTCCAATTAGAATTCAGACGTCTGATGCGTTAAGAACTTTTTCGTCAAACTAAACTACAATTATCCGCAAACTACTAGTTCGAATAGTTTTTTAAATTTACGAAACATATTATAATAATAATAACTACTCTAAGTGATTGGTTTTGGACACGAAGGGAAACACACAAATTTGGCTTGGAAACTTCGTTACTACTCTAAGTTATTGCAATTATTTGCTAAAAGGATTTTGATAATTTATCAAAAGAGACACCTTTGCAACTGTTAATTTAAATTAAGTGTTAGCATAATCTAATGATAATACGAGATGACGTTAAAATGCTGATTTTTCAGATGTCGAACCGATAGGCAAAGATGCTCATGTTGGCACAACCACAACTATTTCCTGTAAGATAACTGGACTGTCAGCAAGATCTACTGTGATTTGGAAGAAAGGAGGAGTTGACGTTGAAGAAGGATCTTCATATGGGAACCTGAACAGTGGCATCCAGATATCAACCTTAACAGTTACTAACCCACAAGAGGATACGGACTACACCTGCGTGGTAACACCTGCAACTTATCTGTACCCCTCAGCTGCGTCATCCGAATATACAGTGACATTAAACGTATATGGTAAGCTATTTAAGCAAAGCTTTTGTGAATTAAGAGTATGATTATCGATCTCAATCTAATATTAAAGATTTGATCTCACACTGCGACTGTTATGTTAAAATAACAAATTTTCCTAAGATGTGGAGGTTACAAACAGAGTAGTCCGCGTCAACACAGATAGTACGCTCACTTGCAAGATTACTAACATCGCAGGACAGATGACAATTACATGGTCTGGATTCACAATTGGAGATGATGACTTTTCGGTGAATCCAGGATCGTATGATGATGCCAGCAACAGTCAAACAGGGACACTGACTCTGAAAGCAGCTGCTGTCTCCACTGATAAAATCTACAGTTGTGCCGTGTCTGCCGAGGAACTTTTTGCCGTCCAGCTGAACGTTTACAGTAAGAACGGTTTTTTGAGTATCAATGAACTTTTACATCAAAAGTGAATTTAGAATAATAATTCTAGAGTCTTAACCTATAGTTAACAAGTAGAGTACATACTATTGCTTAAATTTAGCAATGACGTTACAATTAATAAATACGTTACAATTAATAAATACTGATTTTTCAGATGTCGAGCCGATAGGCAAAGATACTCATGTTGGCACAACCACAACTATTTCCTGTAAGATAACTGGACTTTCAGCAAGATCTACTGTGATTTGGAAGAAAGGAGGAGATCGAGTTATAGAAGGATCTTCAGAGGGGGACCTGAACAGTGGCATCCAGGTATCAACCTTAACAGTGACTAACCCGCAAGAGGATACGGACTACACCTGCGTGGTAACACCTGCAACTTATCTGTACCCCTCAGCTGCGTCATCCGAAGTTACAGTGACACTAAATGTTTATGGTAAGCTTCAAGCTGGGTGTATTTTGCTTACAATTAGCGAGTTCAATAAGAATTTGATTATGATGCCAAGATTCAAGAAGTACGTATCTCGTGAATAATTTGATCATGGGGAAATTTACATGTAATGCAATTTATGGGTCAATAAATACGTGGTTAGATAATAAATTCTTCAGTTACTTGTGGAGAAGGTTTGATCACAGGCTCCAGTGACGAAATATGCGACAAATGCGAAGAAGGTTCAGAACCAGATTTTCTTCACTCTGTGTGTCGTAAGTAAACTAGTCTTAATTACTGGTTGGTAATATGTCAAGTTTCTTGATCTCTTATCCCATCCATCCATTGAAATTTATCCCTATAAAATTCGGTGTAAGATAGAAGTCGTCAGTAGAGCTGCAGTGCAGATCATCAATATTTCTTATTGGTAATATTAATACGGGTGGAAATAATTGTATCGAAAAATCGTGATGAGAATTTTGTCACATGCCATCTAATGTTACTCTAACAGTTAACACGTCTGATCTGTTCTTCTAACGATTTCCTTATTTTACAGAACCCTGTACAGCGGGAACCTACAAAAATAGTGACATGAACACGTGCGAAGAGTGTCCTAAAAACAAAATCAGCGCTAACGAAGAATCCTCATCGTGTGTACCTTGCAAAACCCCTGGACAGGGACCTAACTCTAAGAGAACTGAGTGTGGTAAGGAATCAAAAAGATTGCCGTCGAGCATTGTAGTTTTGTATTCAAAATTTTACAAATTTATTCGCACTGCATCGAAATTGTATTGGTCCAACTGGGCAATCATCATATCACATATGAATTTAATTTCAGTGACATACTGTCCGGAACTGACTAACGCTAACATAACGCACATGTTCCCGAATATCACCTTGTCACCTCCTGACAAAGTAGTTAAAGTAAAATGTACTGCTGGTCACATGGTGCAAGGAAGCAGAGTACTTATATGTACTGCCACCGGGACCTGGGACCAGTCATCACTTCCTTCGTGCAAGAAATACGGTAAGTTTTTCAGATGTTTATCTAAAACCTTTGGTGGATAATTTGTAATATATAGGACTAAACGTTACAGTTATTAAATTCGTGTATTTTCCTAACCCTGACTCTTAAATATGTTGGTGAAGGATAAAACAGGTTTATCTGGGAAAGATAAATCGCGTTTTATCCCTTCATTAACAAAGAGCAAAATTATATTATAGCTGAATTGTATACTTTTTACTTCACCACTTACTTTAGGAATATGGCATTATTTTTCAAAACATTTTAAATTAATCATTGATAGAATTTAAGAAATTTATTTTAAAATGAATTTCTTAACTTAACAATTAAATTTACGTTTAAAAACGTAAATTTAATTGTTAAGTTGAAGTTTTACTTACCAGGTCAATATCAGGTAGTTGACCGTTAATAGCTTCCACGTACATTCTTATTCTATCAAAAGAGTAAACAGGCATGTCAAGATGTAGTGCTGCTTGTATTGCACCTGGAAAAGGTTCCGCATTAATAATCGGTACTTCCAGTAAAACCAGATATAGATTCAGAAGTTTAAATTTGTAAAGAAACTTACCTTTAATTAAGTTTAAATTTATAGTTAGGAAATCATAAACTACCATACCATCTTGATCAACCGTAACTCAAATCTGACCTGAGTGGGTAAGTACAGGACTAGCTGTGATGTAAGGTAAAGTGTTGATGTCATGGTAGGATTGTAACCAAGCTCCAATACCATACTCTTCCTCTTCTGATATCTGGGTAAATTGTCGGGTTAATAAACATTTAACTACTAATTAACTTTTGTTTAATTTGTTTAATTTACTTTTTATCGGACATATTCTTAGTATAGGTTAGTATTGCGAGGAATATTTCCGATTTACAGATTTACAGTGAAAAGATGATTCAAAAAACAGAAAACTCATATTTTATAACCCCACCAGAAAGATAACATCTTTAGCCCAGATAGTTTGCTTAGAAATCAGGTGACATAGAGACAGCATGAGAGGGATGGCGAACTGGCTGTCTTTCAGCGTGGTTGAGAACACCACAGCTTCTGTACTGGCTACTTTGGGAGCTCGGTAGATGGCGTAGATGTTGTCTCCGGATATCTGCGGTAGAAAGGGAGTATTTAGTATTTACTTTGTTTTGAAATATTTAAAAATGTTTGCTAATAGCAAGAAATACAATCGTATCAAAATTCAGCAACATTCGAAATTGCCTACTGCCTAGTATAGGAATGACACTATTTGCAGCCTTTGAACTGCTTTTAAACCCGTTAATTACGACTTAATTTCACACTAAAGTGCCCTAATTTCAGGATATCTCACCTTATCACCCACGAGGGGTCGGTTAACAGTAAAGTTCTGAGTATACACCTCAACACCTAGACCAGTGAACTTCTCTATAATCCACTGATGACGCTCTGATCGGTCTGTTAGAGAGGAGAACTCTTTGTTGAGGGACACTGCTACCTGGACAATACAATTATTTATAATTAGTGTTGTGTTAAGTTTGAATTAGTAATTAGTAATTAGCAACTCTTTGTTGAGAGACACTGCTATCTGGACAATACAATTATTTATAAATTGATATAAGTTAATAATTGTTGAACTTTAAACTTTGAAATGCAGTTTTTTTGGAGGCTTAATTTTTTTCTCCTTTTGAAGAACGTTATCATTTAAGATGTAATGACTGAATCCTACGAAATTTTCTGAGTGAGATTTTGAGATAACATTTAAGAAAAAATTAATATATAATGTATAACTGAAGGGATTTTGTGATAAGTAATCAACTTCGAACATCTATTTTGTCAACTTTTAGAGGTGTATTTTATTTGGTCACAAAACGCTGATAGATAACGGTAATCACGAGGAGGTGGACTAGATTTAATACCTGAAAAGATAGGAATGCTGTAGAAAGCACAAATCAGTTTTTCTACTAAAATATGGACTTCACCTTATTACCATGATTGCCGTCATCTATTGGTTAAAACACCTTGCTAAAAATTAAACTCAATATAAAAATTGATCATTACAACCCACCGATTGTTGCTGGTATTTGGTAACGACATATCCCGGGAGAAGAGCATTTTCCGAAACAAATGAGTTCTGATTTACTCGCATGTCAGCAAATAGTGCTATTCCTATCACCCCTGCTAGGTAAAGCAGTGCACCTGAAAATGAAATGTGAATTTAGCATATATTAGTAGCTAATTAGCTAATTAGCTTCTGAATATCTAAACAAAGTATCTTGTAGTGCTAGTAAAACTTTACATCGCTATAAGATTACCACAGGAAATTGAGTCTGGTGAGCGGATGATGGCTATAATTAATAATTCTAAGAATACAATATCAAATCTTAAAGTAACTGAACTTACAAATAAGCTTATTCTTGGATGTCAATATCTTTTGTAGCTTCTTAGCTCGGCTTCTATTCAGTAATAACTTCATCCTTAATTCTGAATGATACTTGAAGCTAAATCTTGAATGAAACAAGCTTAATCTTGAAATTTGAATGACAGAAACTATGGGATTTTTAAAAACAAATTTTGGACGTCATGGTAAATCTTGTGTGAAAACGTTAAGCATCATTGAAATACAAAGAAAAAATAATACGTACTGTACGTATTACGAAATGATTTATGAAAGGGTCACTTAGATATTTTCAAATAACAACGTACTTCACTGTACAAAAATAAATAAATCGAAGTCACTTAATTTACAAAGCAAAATATCAAAGCCTATTTTAGCCCAATAGTCCGATAAATCTCATCTAAATTCCTCTCAGCAATATCACTTGCTTTCTCTGCTCCACCTGCTAGAACCTTCTCAATAAATTCCTTATCTTTTATCAGTTCTAGCGCCCTATTTCTCACTGGTCCTATTGTTTCAACCAAACAATCTGATAAATCATTCTTTAAAGTCACCACGTTCTTTGATTCATACTTCTTACATACGTCATGGAAATCTGCATCACTAACAGCTGATAAAAGCTGCAAAAGATTATAAACCCCAGGCCTCGTCTCCAAATCAACAGTAATCGCCCCAAACGAATCCGTCACTGCTTTCTTCACCTTCTTCCTAATCTGATCATCAGTATCCAACATGCCCACCACCCCGCTGGGCCTCCCATACGACTTGCTCATCTTCTGGCTAGGATCTGCGAGACTCTTAACGCGCGGCGACGTGGTCAACAGCTGTGAAACCGTCCCAAACACGTGAGACTTGTACGCGCGGTTAAAGTACTGCGCGATTGAGTTACAGAACTCTATGTGGATGTTCTGGTCCTCTCCCACTGGAATGTGGGTCCCGTGGAAGAGGAGAATGTCAGCACTCATCAGGACGGGGTATGTTAGTAGTCCTAGGTTGTCGTGTATTTGGGACTTTTCTCTGTACTGGGGCAAGGCTCGCAGTCTGGATATTAGTCCTGAGATTTAAAACATTTACAAAACAAGTAAAGAAACATTGTCAGGTCTAGATTAAGCAGTTTCACAAGACCAATTTATGTCTGTAAATAAATCGGATTAATTAATCAATACGTCATAAACAGCTGTTAAAGAGATGAAGTACAAAAGAGCCGAGTATAAAATAGGTACTGGAGGCCTTTATAGTGGTATTTTATAGTGAATAAAGAAGTTCAGTATTTATAAGTCAAAACGAAGGAGTAACCTGAAGTAGCAGAAGTAGAGAGTAGCCAAGCGAGAGCAGTGTGCTGCAACACAGCACTGTGTTTATATAAGATAACTCTGTCTGGATCAAGTCCTAACGACAACAGCACTGCAACTTGACTGTGGGTGTTAGACCTAACTTGTTTTGCTGTTGTTTTACTGGTAAAAACGTGATTGTCAGCTACCCTGAGGAGAGAGGTGATACATAAGAAATTGTGTACAATGTACATATTACATTAATATAATACACGACTGTTGTTAGTATTATACAGGACTGTGGAATGGTTTTTAAAATTTGTGGGCATGTTTGTTAATTGCCAATACTCCTCCATCCCAAAACTAAGCTAAGCTATTAAATTTAAAAACTATATAAGTGTATTCAATTTCGAATTGTGGAGCAAAAGTGTCACCCTGTCATGCATTCATAATCATTTAATAGTAATGAGCTCACCCAAAAATACAGTTCTGATGTTGATCTTGAAGAGCTATCCAGTGTTTGAGAGCCCCCAAATAGTTGCCCAAGTGGGGCTCCCCAGTGGGCTGTATGGCAGAGACTATCCGGGTGGGACATGTTGACAGTACTCTTCTGCAAGCTATCATGAAGAAGTGTTTCACTGCTTAAAAACAAATTTAACTTTAATCAAAGTATAATTTCAATAGTCTGATACTTTTAAAATTAGAATACATTTTTAACAGGGAACAAGTTGATAATTTGGGTCAATGAGAATTTAGAAAGTTGCATTAATTATTCTCTCAAGCAAACAACGAAACGTAAACATCATAAAAGTTAGCCAATGATAAATGTGAGTACTGGAAATCTACACAGTACTGAATTCGAAATCATAGATCATGATAATTTAGATTTTGATCGATAAATTCTTTAACATAGGTTATGCATTGTGTAATTGGTAGAGATCAAATGATTTCTGGAAACTATGTACCCTCTTCATTAAAGTTAAGAAAGCACGGATGGATAAAGTGGATGTACACATAATCTCAAATCCTCTCTCCCCAGATTAGAGTACAAGGTTATCATAAAAACCAACATATCACATGGCCGTAGGCGTAGAATTAGAGGATAAAGTAGAGGATAAAATTGGCTGTTATGATTTTAAAATAGTGCAAGAAAATCGAGTTTACACACACAGTCGAATGAATCCGATTCAGGCTGCATTTCAGCAAAATAAACTGTAAAATACTAAGAAATTATACTGTTAAATCGACTGCATCTTCAAATAACAAACGTCAAGTGCTATACGAAACATGTTGAGCCAGAATCTCCCATTCAATGTCGAGAAAGTTCTTCTAAGAGTTTTTTCCTGCGTTTTTCGAGTTCTGTCTCACTAAGATCATCATCAGACTCATTTTCACTCTCTCCACTTTTCTCATCTTTGTCGCTTGAATGTTTACTTGATTTCTTTCTCTTCTTCTCAGTTTCGGAATCTGATTCATGCACACTCTTTTCCTTCTTCTTCTTCTTACTCTTCTTCTTTGCTTTCTTCTCCTTCTTCTTGGGTTCTTCTTTCTCTTCCTCTGATGGCTCATCAACAACCTTCTTCTGCTTCTTCTTGCGATCCTCATCACTTGAACCAGTCATTTCATACGATGGTGACCTTTTAGCTCTGTGCTTGTGTTTCTTGTCTTTCTTGTGTCTCTTCTTTTTATGTTTATCGGAATTATTATCTTCTGAATTTGATTCAGGCTCCAGTGATGAAGCATATTCTTTGAAAAGTTTTGATCGACTTTTGTCGTCATCAGAAAATGCAATATAAGCTGGATCTTTTTCGAATCTTGACTTGATCTTGCTCCACTCATCATCAGTGGTGATAGGGGGACTAGCATCTTTGAGCATGTGTTTAAATGCAGCTTCCTTTCTCTTTAACTTTCTTTCTTCTGCTCTCTGTGCTTCCTTCTCTCTGGCCTCAGCCTTTTCTAAGAGAGTCAAAAAGTGTAACTTTATGTTGCCCTTGTCGATGCCTTTTGTTTTATCAGTGCCAGATATGATTGAGTGAAACTTCTCATATGATGTATCGGGTTCGACCTCGAAGTTAGCCTGTTTCAAAACCTCCTTTATTGTTTTCTTGTCCTCGTGCATTGTTGACTTGAGATCCTCCAGATAGAACTTGAACAAATCAAGAGGAGTTGATCCTGGCTGACCAAGCATAACCCCATAACGAATGTCTTTGCTAATGATGGAATATAAATCTGCCCAAAGAGAGGTAGAATCGAGCTTCTTTGTTTCATGAAGCTCATTCAAAAGTTTGATAAAACAGTCCCTGTTGATTCTCTGAGCACGACGCTCTTTAGCGAATTTTTTCTGTTTTTCATCTTCAAAATCAAGTTCAAGGGCTTTGATGTGCTCCATGAACACCACCAGCATGTCTTCTTTGTCAATGTTTTCAAACAGAATATTGTTTTTAAACGTTTTATAGGATAATAGAACTTCTTGTGCATCAGCCCATGTCGTTTTGTAAGAGATCTCCTTAACATCCTCTAAAAGAATAGCTAGTTCTTCCTTTTGCTTCACTCTCAGTTCAGTTTCTTCTTTTTTCTCTTTCTTTGACAAAAAGAAAATTGCATCCTCAAACACATCTTTGCGATCTCGTTCAGGCACAACTGACCACTCTTTGTGGGACTCTAAAAGTTCATGAGCTTTGCGATACAGCATGTTGGAATTCATATGGGGAAGAGAAATAAGGTATTCATAAAGTTTTTCTTTTGCCTCTTTTGCAGCTTGGCGCTCTTCTTCCTTTTCTTCTTTAGCTTTCTGAGTTTTATATGCATTGAATGCCTGTTTCTTTTCATTCAGCTTGGGAATAGCATTGTAGCGTTTATCAGTAGATATTTGCTTCATCGCCTGTTCCCATGTAGCAGTAGAAGGTACACTTTTGTCTTTGAGGAGCTGTTTAAAAGCATTTTTGGCATCTTCTTTGGTTTCATAAACAACTTCCTCCCCCTCAGATTCCTCTTTCTTTTCTGCATCCTTTTCCTCACCTTCCTTTTCACTGCTGTCAGCTTGTGCCTCTTTTTCCTCAAGTTTCTTGATTTCTTCTTTCATTTTTGTGAATTCCTCTGGCTCTGTCCAAGTTGATTCTTTAGTATCAGAATTGTAGAAGTAGATTTTAGCTGAAATATAATATTGATCAATTGACTTGAATTGTGTACCAAATGATTTAGATCTAAAACAAATCAACTGGAAAAAGTGATACATACTAACATTAAACACAATATTATCCCAAAAACATTTTAGGTAAAACTCAATATTTGCATAAATACATTAATATAGTTACCTGTTTCTGCATGTTTATGTTCTTTCCAGGAACATTTAGATAGCAGTCTTTCTGAGGGTGTTTTAAGTTCATCAGGTTTTGACCATGAGGACTGTTTTGTTTCACTGTGATAATAATATGTCCTTCCATCTGGCGAAGTATGTTTAGTCCACAGGCTAGCTTTTTTCTTCTTTTTTGAACCAGCAGCCGAATTTTGTGACATAGCCATCTGTGCCATAGCCATCATTTGGGGCATCATCATCATCATATTTGGGTCCATCATGTTCATCATAGGGTTTGCATTATCAGGCATAGGAGGTGGAGCATTTTGCATTGGGCCACCCATCATAGGGCCTCCACCAGGATGACCTGGCCCAGGGCCCGGTAAAGGTATCTCTGACGGATTCATGCCTTGACTCAAAGGTGGCATAGGTCCAGCCCTTTGAGAAACCTCTTGTCTGTGCATACTGTTATTGATCATCATGTGATTGAAGCCTGGTTGCTGGTTAGCAAAGCCTTGCATCATACCTTGAGGCCTCATTTGAATGGTATTATGGGGAATCTGGTGATGTATATTCCCCATCAGGTTTATGTGTGATCCTGGTCTAAATGCCATGTCTGAAATAGTATACTAATTAGGAGATATGACATAAATACATGTTTGTTGTTTGATCAAATGTGATTTCTTCATACTTCTTGGTGTTTCATTTACAAATTGTCCAAGGAGTTACATTAAAAAGAATTCTATAAATAAAATTACGACCTACACCATTGGTGCAATTGAAAAGATCTAACATTATTAACATATTAAAACATTATAATTTCATTTTGGATCACTGAAAGTCAATTATATATGTTAAATAGTTATACAAAATACATACATACAGCAGGATGAAACGAACTGGTCAGAAGAGGCTCTTGGAGCATTACCAAATTTATACAAGTGTAAGTGTCTGTTTTGGGACCCATGGGAAAAATGTCTGCCACAGAAGCAGATTTAGGACACCATCGTCCCGAAAAACAGAGGTTGACACATTTACTCAAAATAGCCATAAACTTAACATGATCCTGCTCTGCCAGAAGGGATGATCTTATCTCTAAATGCAAGAGGACTGTTGTACTTCTCAATCTTCGCCATTAACGAAGACACTAGCTGGATAGATTTGTTATTGCAGCAATTGGCAGCGAAGCTTTTAAGAACAAATATGTCTCAGATAAAGTCCATAAATGGTGTCAGGACATCAAGCTGTTGTCATCAATTGCTGTTGAGGAGCCCCAAGCTGCTTTGACTGCATATACTAAGGGAATTTGTCACCGGTGGACGTTCATTCAGAGGACCATCCCGGGTATAAGTCACTTGTTTCAACCATTGGAGGATTGCATCAGAACAGATTTTATTCCAGCAATCTTGGGTAAGAACGTAGCAGACTTGGACCGCTCCATATTTGCATTGCCAGTCAGACATGGTGGCCTAGGTATCTCCAACCCAGTTGAAAACTGCAATAGAGAATTCACAGCCTCAGTCACCATCACAAAAGACCTCACAGACCTGATTATCAACCAGCAAAACACCCTTGAACATTACAACATGTCAATTCAAAATGACATTATAAAAAGTCTCAAGGCAATCAAGGAGAAACACTTATGTACGGTTAGCAAATCAATAGAGGACAGTGTAAGAGATCCCAACCTAAAGAGATCTCTCCAGTTCATCAAAGAGAAAGGTTCAGGATGTTGGCTTACTGCACTTCCATTGAAGAGATTTGGCTACTCCCTGAACAAGATTGAGTTCCGTGATGCTCTGTACTTGCGTTATGGTTGGGAGATCCCTAACACCCCATTTCACTGTGCTTGTGGAGAGAGAAATAATGTGAATCACACACTTATATGCAAGAAAGGTGGCTATGTTTCTATGAGACACAACAACATCCGCGATCTAAATGCAGAGCTGCAGCGTGAAGTATGCAGAGATGTAGTGACTGAGCCAGCATTGATACCCCTTGATAATGAAGAAATTGTTGGTACCAATGCTGATAGAGCTGCACCTGATGTATCCTCACGAGGTCTCTGGAGCACATTTGAACGAACATTCTTTGATGTCTGTGTTACCCACCCCAACTCACCCACATATGTCAAAAAAGATATGGAACAGATCTATAAAGCTCATGAAATGAGGAAAATGAAAAAGTACAACAACAGAATCATCCAGGTGGAAAAAGGCACCTTTACCCCACTTATATACTCAACAAATGGCGGATGGGGTCCACAAGCCACAAGATACCACAAGAGACTCGCTGAAAAACTATCCCAGAAGAGAGGAGAAGACTATGCGGCTATTATGTGTTACATGCGCACCAGGATTAGATTCTCAATCCTCAGGAGCACCCTGATAGCGGTCAGGGGTGAGAGAGGGAGACGGCAATCGTATACATTGCCAGTCAGTGTAACTTCGTTTAACTTGATACCTGCCACCATGGACTATGAATGTTTCTAGACACTATCCTTTTGATATTGAGATATTGGTATCTCAGATCACGTGTACATCGTTCCTTTTTTTATGACACAGTAATTTATTGACACTCACAGCTATAATTTTAATCATTGAATCAGTATTTTTATCTATTAACTTATTACATATTTGTGCTCTGCTTTAGCATCACTTGACTATTAAAGTTCAGGCCATGACCTTATAGTCAGCCAATTGGCCATTGCTATATTATGTGTATATTGTTTGAATATTCTTTACCATTTGTTATTGCATTTCTTCAACCTATAGGACTTTGGCGAACAAGACAGAAAACTAATGGCTTGTAAGAATAGAGCCCTATTGAACAATGTGCAATAGCACAGAAGACATGCAGCTCGGAATTTCCAATAAATCTGAACATTTAATGACGCAATGCACTGTGCTAGATTAATTCAGTATACGATATTTTGAATTTAATTCACTCTAATGGCCATTGTGTATTGAGTCAATATCGTCATCAAGATGTGCAAGGAGCTGGGTCGATTTTGGAAGATTATATATTTAACCTTTAGCTAAAAGTTGTAAGATGGACAATCGAATGTTATACATTTAAGCTATATCTCTACGCTTGATAATGGATTTCAAACAGCTCACTCAGAAAGATCCGAAAGTGGCTAATTGTCAACTAAAAGGTCGGACACCCTGATAAAATAAATTCCTAAAATGTATGAAACTCTGTATGTGTTTACTATACGAAACTTTGTTTCGCTGAGTGATCAACTCAGGTCAAAATCCTAATTGTTAGTGATTCAATGCTAATTGCCCGGACCGGGCTTAATAAACAGATTGTGACCTTTGAATTAAAAAGGTACCTTTCAGTATAAATTAAATACAAAATCTTTAATACTATGTTAATTTATCATAAGAATCGTGTTTTCTGTTTTTTAATTATTCGTGTTATAAAACTTTACTGCAACTGATTTAATTTTGTATTTAATTTTTGCGCTGTATTTATATTAAATTTAATGCACTCAGTGTGGCACTAAATTCATAATTACCCATTCGGTACAAATAAAGGCTAAAAATACAAAAGCCAAACTACTTAATTTGCTAGTTCAGTTTTCACAAATTTGCAAGCTTTATAGCTCTCACAAATACAAACAGTGAAAAAAAGCGCCGTGGAGAAAAATAGCGTGCAAGGCATGAATCGAAAGTAATGGCGAAAGAGCATTTGCATAGTCTGTAATGTTGTATTTGAAGTCCTGTACTATGCATGAACAAGCGCAAGCTTTATTCCAATACGAAGGCCAAATTAAGCATTTACTAAAACTTCAATAAATACAATCAACTTCAATTGACATGAAGACAATTGATTTTGTACTTGACGAATGTTACTCGTCTAAATTTCTTCGAAGTAACGCGCGCCGCACTTCTCGATGCAGCAAGTGCTACGAAGTAGCGCGCACTGGGCCAAACCATTAACAATGGTTAATTTTATACGAAAATAATTTGCAACACTGAACACAAAATTATGTAATTAAATTTAATCAGCTTTTTGTCAAATGTCAATTAATTAATTTAAAAACAATTTTAAACCCTTATCCGTCTCACGCGAAAAATTAATTATAAGTCCAAAATTAAAAGTGAATTAAATGGGGAATATACTGAATATTTGATCTTATATAGGGTCATTGTAATATTATATGTACATTGTTTAAACACTTTGTCATTTGTCTAAAAACTGCAATTGTTTTTATTATATTGACGTTTATATGAGACGAGACTGTTGCCTCAGATTTATGTTTTTTACGTTTTGAATTTTTGATAGAAATTTTTAAAATTATAAATACTATGTTGTCACACTGAAATGTCGAACAATATCTTTTCTGAAAAAAGTTGTTTTTGATTTTGGGGTCAAAGGTCTTTTAAAAAATGATCAGTTTTTCATTTTAGCTTGATTAAGCACGGTTATTGCCCTGTTTAAAATATTTAAGGCTTTGTTGTTTCTCAAAATTTGGTAGAGAAATTAGTAAGATCACTGGATACCTTAGATATTGGCTCAATATAAACTTGTGGATAATGCAGGTGTCATCACATCATTGACGACAGCAATCATGATACTATACCTTTAGCCATGGTAACGATTAAATGCCTAAGCCGTGCACAAACATAGTTTTATAACATTTGCAATCACACTACATTGTTGTTTGGTTGTTTCAAATAGAACAAATGATTATGACATTTGATCATAAGGCATACTCCATCTACTGCCTCATCTTCTGGACATCATTATCTTCTAGTTTAGTTGAGAATTCTCAACACCCACTTCCAAGTCGAGTACTCTCGACCCACTTAGTCCACATACCTTGCAAACTTACAGCAGGGTATTTGTAATGGTCTAAGTCCCTAATACACGCCAAAGATGGTTCCTCTATACTCAACCGTAGGAGAAGGGAATTAGGTGACTGTATTTTGTTCTAATGTTGATATTAATATAAGTATGTTCTAGTTGTTACTCCTTTTGTTTTAACGTTTTTATGGTACTCTCCTTAAATTATTTCAATGCAGTCACTCAGATGATTTTAAATCAGGACACTTAAATAAAGACACATACTCTGCCCACAATAAGGGGCCATAATTTTTAAATTATGTAACAGTATAGAATTATTATTATTATTATTATTCATAAGGCAACTGACTAATATGCTGTCTAATGTACCGTCCAATGTTATGTAATAAGCCTTTTCTCTGGCCTTGTTGTCTGATAAACCTCCGTTTATAAGCTTGCGGTTTTTCCTTACTTGTCTCTGCAATTTATCTTTTCTGTAGCTTTTACTTTCAGATTACTGTTCAGAAATAAATGTTATTGGCATATCAGTTTGTGTCTAGACTTAAGTTTAACTAGTAGTTTGCTGAAATGAATAAAATAACATAATATTTTTATCATCATCACCATCATGTCAAGTACTACTCAGTGGCTTAAAAAGTCAGCTCTTTTTGGCATCCTTGGAACCTCCCCCCACCACAACTGAAGCTTTTTGTATCCCAGATTGGTTAAATAATGATTGACTATAATCAAGTTTTCTTCATGTTCCAGTATTTTATACATTCTGTTTCTGATTCTATTTTTCTAGTTCGAGTGGTAACTTTCACAACGGTTGTACTTGATTATTAATCAAGATAAAACAGTCTGAGACTAAATTGAATTTATTTAGCATGTCTCAAATTGATGCTTACGAATCAACTCGCCTTTCATTGCTTGATGTTGCGATGGACAGGTTGCGGATTGGAAACAAGAAAGGGATGATTCACAGGATCTTTATATCTTCAAAGTTGGCCAGTGGACTTGAAAAGAAAGATAAAAAATCACTAGGATCATCAATTGACAAATTTCTGAAGCATTGTCAAAGTCAGCTTTCTCAAGAGCCTCCATCTGGAATTCTGTTGATGTACAATCAACATGCTCTATTCTGTCTTGAATCCTCTCAGGAAATCATAATGCTTTTTATGCAAGAAATCAATACAAACTTGTCTGAAATTGTTTTGGAGAGTATGGTGCTTTCATTCACAGAAAATGTACAAACTCGTTTGTTCCAGCATGGGTGGGCTGATGCAGCACTACCCATCAGGCCACTTGAACAGAAACACGAAACTAGTGACTCTATATCACAGGTTTGCCTACTCATGAACTATTCTATGATCAAATTATTGTTTAATTATTATTATTATTGACCAATTTTGTTTAATTCTTAATCTGAACAGGTGATCATCAACACGATAAAGCAAACAGTTTCCTTATCAGAATATGTGAATCACAATGTTCCTAAAGTCAACTATAGAGCTCGATGTGAAACAATGATTTCATCTCAGACCCAACTCATCGTTTGTAAGTTAAAAGTTCAATCCTATGATTAATTTGTTTTAAAAACTTACATGCATTGTATTTGAAGGAGAATTATGCGCCAAAGTTGTTGCTTTTAGTGCTCTTCGAATTTTAAGATTTTGATATCATTACTTCTGAGGCCTGTTAATACAGTTTACTCAGATGATTAACTAATTCTGAAAATACTAATTTCCACAGCAGAAGAAATTATTGAACATATATCAAGCGACAAGTCCCTATTTTCTACAATAGATTATGTAGAGAAGTACACCAAACCCTTGGACGTCGTTCTCGACCAAGAACTCATTTGGCCTTTGGAGATCAGACTTTTCCCGTACATGTGAACTTCAAATATTACCTTGCATATTATTATTTTGTGCTGATTGTACCATTTTTTAGGTGTAATATAAATAATGTACATATTTGATGTCAAAGAAGTGAGAATTGATATAAAAGTCATCTGTAGATTAACCACACACTGCAAACACCTTGAAGTGTTCATTAAAAATTTTAAAAACCATCAGAATGAAAAGTTAAAACTCTGTGAAATGAAAGTGCCATAATATAATTAAAGATTAATTTAAACTGTCAGATTACATTATTATTATGTTGCGTTTCGATAAGACCAGGAAGAGTTGATTAAAAAACAAACGATTTTATGTCCAGTATTTTAATCTCTGGTATTTCTTTCGAGATCTGAAAGTTATACATCACAATTGTGTGCATGATATCAGATTTTTTGTTATCAAAGAAGTTGTTTAAAAGTTTTTATATGAACAGTTTTGTGCTTCATTATTACAAGTCAGTCCCTTGAAAGACTTCGTGTCCATTATATTCGTTTCTGTTGCGTTTCTTCTTGCACTTCTTGCAGCATCTACAGCACTTATAAAAACAACAAAAGCACCTTATGAAGCAGATGATGAAAGACAGCAGTATGATGATAAGGATAACAACTACAGCGATTATAAAACCCTCCGCAGCACTGTCAATTCCATTGAACCACTCAGCCGGATTCGCAAACTTCAGCCATGAACGTGGGCTTAGAATGCTTTCTTTTTCACCAATTGTGTAATCTATCGTAGAATTTTTCTTTTCTGCGGTGTCAAGGGCAATAGTTTCACACTTAACATCAATACACTTGCTAGAAAGATTACTTTTTGTTCCCCAGACAGCCTCAAGGCACAGAGTTGTGTCATTATCCACACACTCCACTGCGATAGGCTGGATGTGTTCTAGTGTCCCCTCTTGTAAAAGTAGACGGAAAACCTCGCTTTTGTTTCCTGCTCTCAAATGACCCCTCAATAGACCATTAGTGTCAGTGAGGGAGATGTTGAGGTAGCGATTACTGTTCTTGTCCATGAATAGAACAGCTGTGAAGTTTGTTACTTTGGAGACTACATCTGTATGAAGAATGAAATCCTGCTTCTTTTGTACCAAACTGAGGTCAATCACGGACTTCAAAGAATTCACTTCTATTTTTCCCTCTGTATTTCTTTTAATAGAAGAGACTTTTGTTGAGTATTTAGATTGAAGTGTTTGGTAGGCGGGTGGAGATGAGTGGGTCCCGTAAAAACGTGGCCTCAGCTCGCTCTCAGCACAATCCTGAACAGTTGCGTTGAAATATCTTTTGAATTGTCTCCTTTTCCATTGAAACTCTTGATATTGAGTAACTTTCAACCAGCCAAACCTAGTGACTTCATTCTTATCTTTTGGATTCATTAACTCTTCAGTGGTCAGAACATTGCCATCTTTCTCGGAGTTATAATACCTTTCATTTTCAAAAGCAGGAATCTCATTGGTGGTGATAGAAGTAGGTGTTAGTGAAGCGCTTATACCTTCGATTTGAGTACTTCCTGAAGTGCCAGTAGTACTGAACCTATGAGTACTGGTATAAAGAAGGTGATCAGATTCATGAAGATAGACAGAGGTCCTCACCCTGGCAGATACTGTGGGTCTTGTTTGGTTTATCTTGTAGCTTGTATAAGTTTCGTCGGAGGTCACGAATATTTTGCAGCATATTCGAGATCGTCCTGCTACTTGCTTGACTGCATCCAGAAAACACCCCTAAAAAATGTGTTATAAGTTGAATGTAATTTCCAGCTTAATACCTATGATTCTATGTGTAATATCTAATAGGGTGTAGAATTAGAATATTCAGTGATCTGAATGCCAAGTTTATCAGGAAATAAGGAATCTAACAGCCTACTTACCTTGGTATTGTCAGAAAGATCGTTCCACTCAACACAATTGATATCATCGTCTGAGCATCTGTCAAGTTTAGGACAATCAGTTGCCTCCGTACCTTTAGTGCATTGGCATGTGCATGTGGCGTCTAGTTGGGGAATTCCAAACTTGTACTCGTCTTTCACACTGAACAAATATTTGATATTTCAGGGGGAAAAACCGAACATCAAAACTTATGACCATCTTACTTTAACTACTTTAACAAAACAAGATGTAAAGGTCGGTAACACAAGTTGGGCCTCATACTTGGGTTTTATACCTGTATGTTGCTGTAATATTCTCTATTGTCACTCTGTACTGCAACGTCATGTTAAGTCCATCCACTTCTGCATCTCTCAGATAACATACTGAGCTCCCCTCAGTTAATCCTGGGACTGAAGATAAATGTTTTAGATTTAGGTGCTTTTTTATAAGTGCTGTGCTGTTAATAACAGCTGAAGCGCTCCTTCTACAAATACTCGCTATAGTTATTAAATTTGTATCGGTCCTAAAATGATCCGATCGTTCATTAAAATTTGTTATTGTACGTGATTTTTATATATAATTTTAAGTAAAATGTTACACTGTAAACTGTTTCGTAACCCTTATATTTCTAGGTATGGCCCCAGTTAGCGCAGGAGGGGTGACTACAGGAAGTCGTCCAGGGGGCCGCATCCTAACAGGTTCTCGACCTCTTCGAGATCCGCCCTCTATTCCCTCTAAATATCAAACCTACGTCATCGTTAACAACGAGAAGAAAGGCTTTAACTCCCGATCTTGTCGATTCAGTGACTATGATTACATCACAGAAAACCCAGGCCCAGGATCATATACGAATCAGCAGCAAATGTTGAGTAATCAAGATGGTAAAACGAGCTGGTCAAAGAAAGGACTGGGATCTTTTGCTTCGTCAACCAAGCGGTTTCAGGGCAGGAGATCGGAGATAGGAGTTGGGCCTGGTTCTTACGATCACATATCACCCAAAACAGATTTTAACAGAGCAGTTACAAGTGCCTTCCACAAACCGATTTGTGTGGAAAAGAGGCAGGAATTCACGGGACCACCACCAAATCAGTACAACCCAGTCGTACCAATCCGTACCGCTCCGTCAGCGTTTGCAAGTTTCAAATCCCGCACTAAACGAGATGCCCTAACAACGACTCTAAAGTCAGACTTCCCCGCTCCGGGCAGTTACGAGGTAAAGGACAACGTCATCAAGAGTAGCGTCAACCCTATGTCTTCAGTCTTCAAGTCCAAAGTAAAGCGAGATTTGAAGGAGCTACACCTAGACTCTGAGGTACCCGGTCCTGGTGCATACGACCCGTACATCGCAGAAGATTCAGATGCTACTCCATTCTACCGACTACACTATCTCGCCATCTCCGCCCCTGCTATGCCACTACCCAAAGCAAAACCTCAGCCAGGACCTGGAGCTTACGACATAGTGAACTACACCGGTCCCAAGAAGTCTGACGTGGCTAGTGCTAACTTTCTGTCAACCCTCCCCCGAGGAACGGCCTTGGAGCCCTACAAGCACATTTCACCTGGTCCAGCTGCTTACAAACCAAACAGGAGGAACAAGCATTCGTTTATCTATAACTTCAAGGGACGCTGGATTTAACCGTGTAACAATCAACATCATGTCCATAATTCAGGGATGTGAACACTAAACATGTTTCGTCAGCAGAATTTAGAAAAGGGACAACACACTGCATGTTTTTATACGAGAAGTTTGTTAATGTGGTAAATTAAAAATCAGACTAAAACACTTTGAAAATTTGCAAGATATTTTAGGAAATCGGTTGCTGTGGATTTGCGCGACATTTTCGAACAATTTTATGTATTTGGCGCATTAATTACCAAAACTTGGCCATTATTGAGTCTTGCTCATGAGAGAATTACGCATTTGAGATGTACGATTTTTATCAAAATTCGTAAAACCTTCTGTCAATCACATCCTTGTGTCATCAATTTACTGATCAAATGATAATTTATACAGCGGCGCGGGGGGAGGGGGGGGGGGGGGGAAGTCACTTAAAACACACTTATCCTGAAAATACGAGAGCTATCGCTACTCAGATAGTATAAATCTAGTGTATCAGGTGATTTGATAGAGCCTTATAAACTGTTTATGATTCGCCTCTCCAAACAAATCCAAAGGTGATTGGGTTGACACTAGATCCGCACTGATTATGGGTATCGTGCATTCATTCAGAAAGCCCAATTACGGTGTCGCAGCTGTGTTATAGGATCCAGTGAATGTGTACTTACTTGCCCCCCCGGCCCCCCCCCTGTACAGTATACTATAAAAGATGACAGACTACTCGACTTGATCATACTCACATTCAAAGGTTTCTATAGCTATTAGTTTCCCTGATTCGTTTACCAAACTTGGTTGCCCAGTCCGTATATCAGCTGATGTACAGTTGAATTTTCCTTTGGGTGGCAAGAACGGCTGTTCTGAAGAAACTGTTTGGTTTGTAGGTGCTGTAGGTTGGTCTGCAGGGACTGTAGACTGGTTTGTAGCGATTGTAGGTTGATCTGCACATAATATATCTCCAACAAGAACCATTAAAATCGTTAAAAACGAAGCCCTCATTTTCAAACCAAAATAAATGTGCCAATGAACTAGTATCACGACCACTCTTTCTCAAACCATGATCCAGTGTAATGGTCATACCCAATTATACCATAGGATTTGCTTTGGATAGTTCGACTTAAACAATGGACTAATTGGTGGACAAATAAAAGGTTGTGTTTGATCACGAGTTTAAGGAAGTTTATGTGTTGTCCTGATATTCATCACTTAATTCACACTGGCATTTGACGACCACTTTACGACATGACGTATTCAAGAGACCAATTTTGAATTCTGATGACCGAAAAAAGGAAATTAATTCACCGAGATATATAGCTAACTTTATATGGTGATTTTAAAACTATTTGTTTTTACCATACCATACTATATCCCCGTGTGTATCCAGTAAATTTAAATCATAACCTTAGCACACTCCTCGTAGGGCCTCAAAATAGGATGACATGACTTGAAAATGACTGAACTGCACACAGCAGACTTTCTACCCGCGTTTGATGGACTGATCCCCGCGTTTCCCGCTCACTCTCTCACCCGCAAGAAGCAGATACTAACTGAAGGTACATTAAACTTGGCAAATAGCCAGAATATTGTGATTATACCCACTCCAACTAGTGTGTGAGAGAGACAAAATTCTCATATATACCTGCCCTGGAGGAGTTAGAATTTAATTGTTGTATTTTTAAACCACTCTAGCATGGTTACTGGTTAGTCCCTGGCAATTGTCTCAGTTTCTATCCGTGCGGGCGAAATACAAGCGTACTATCATTTCATTGTTTCCCACGGTTTATTGTTGTCCCACTGCTTCATTTTAAGATTTATTGTTGTTATTATTGGTAAAATAAGGTTTTAACGGAGAAAAGTTTTTAAATTGGTGATACAATTATAAACTGGTGGAGGTTAGGGAAACCATTAATATATGAAGGCTGATTGTTGAGTTTGGAAGGAGATTCAAACACAGTACTGAATACCGATGATTAGAAATTTCGTACGGATTTTGTACGGATTCATTAATAAGCCTCACGATTTAGATTGGTCTGGCTCGAATTTTTCTGCACCGAATATTGATTGTACTTTCTCTTCTTGAAATATTTCCAGTTCAAAACCCCCTATTATGTAAAAGTACTATATCTATTGTCTTAATAATTTGCTGATTCAAGAGTTGGTGGAGTGCGGTGCTCACACAATAAATTAAATCATCAACCGTACAACACTGATTAAACATTTTAAGTTATAAAATCCTTTATCTTTACTTGTTACTTTTCATAAATCTTAATATGTTTCACGTATTGATCACGTTTAAACAGATATTTAAACAGTTAATTAACTGAATAAGAATGTTGCTTTAACATCCTGTCGTCGTATCAAAACCACACTAGCATTCATTAAGCAGTGACTTCTTTAAACTTTCTATTTAAGGATCACTTTTATATTGTTACACCGTTACTCTGTTAGCACAGCTTAAGTTACCTATCCGACCGACGCGATAGTAATTAAAATTTGTCATAAGATGCTCAGTTCAAATCATTGTCCGCTATTTGTTTGTTCGTTTATTTGTGCTACTGATGGAGCTGGATTCTTTAATTCCGTACAGATCTCGTTATCTACCCAGAGGTTTATCCAATCACGTTCGTGCATGTGAAATTACAGAACATGTGAGATTGTAAATTTGCGTGCACATCGTTTTTGCAAGTCGTGGTATTATGAAAAATTCAATGTGAGATGATCATCAGTCGATAATAAACGAATGTTAAGTTTACGATTGAATACACTGTACTTTGACTGTTTACTGTTTATCTTGAACCAATAAGACGTCAACATTAAAGAATCTGCCAGAAATTGTATTGAGTTTAAAGTGATCACAATTCAAATAAAAATGTAGCAGGAATTCAGAAAACAATGAACATTTCCAATAACTGAAATAACCTCTGTAGTCAAGAAGGTAACTGAGAGAGAACATATAGTTTAGTTGAAACTCTCTATCCCAGGTGGAGCATGGCTGGTAGAGCACCAGGAAGCCCAACACCGGAGGTATCACAGCTTCCTCCTCTACGACCAGGACTACATCCAGCATAGGCAACAGGTTGGTAATACCTTGTTCGTGCATCACGGAGAAATTATTATGTTTAGGGACTGAAACTGTTCCGAGTTTTACGGAATATGAACGTTTCTGTTGATGTCTCGTCCGTGTTTAATAATACCAAAACTATTGTTATTAATCGGGGAACTGATAAAATAATGCAAGGAGTCACAGGAGGCTGAGAAACAGTTAGGGGAGAAGATATTGGACGGGTACTACCTACTGAACTGTGCTAAGTTAGACGACCCACAAGATATCTGTAGTATAGATATCTCCAACCAAGGTACTGTTCGGTTTGATTATTATGAGCGATGGATTTGGAAGAGTCTAGAAGCTCAGATATTGTGGAAGTAACAATCAAGCTTGGCACCTTCATTGGTTTTAGTTGTTTACCGAATCTGATATTGCATCGCTGTTTCACTTCTTGTATATCATGCTTCACTGCATACAATTCTAAGCAATTTAAGAACAAAAATATAATACTTCTAGTCCTATAAAACATTGAACATTCTTCTTACAGGTTTGAATGCGGCTAAGGAAGATGATTTTGACTTATTCATCAACTTGTTCCACATCAACGCAGCCGAAAACAATTTGAAGTTGGAGGTATAACTCACAATAATAATCAATTAAGATCTGACTTTTTAGTTTTTATTTTCCGGTTATCATTTGTCATCTTTTCAGAACCGTCGAATTGATTGATGGCAAATAGTGTCATGATAGTACGTATTGAAATATTATGATTTTTTTTTATTAAAAAAAAAAAAATATTATGATAACTTCTACTAAATTACTACTGATAATAACATTATTTTCAGTGTCTCTCCTCGTTTCCCATGGTTCGGGAGATTCAGTTCCAGTTTAACAGTTTGAGTAAAGTTAAACTGTCACCGAACCACTTCCTACATCTCGACACTTTGGATCTGTCTTACAATCAGGTTATTGGGGGAGAGTTTACAATAAATACTAAATCTTATTAATGTGTAACTCTTGTAACTCTTGTAACTCTTGTAACTATTGTAACTCTTGTAACTCTAATGTCCTCTCAACTTTTGTGAGCAGTGCAATTCAGTTTTGTGAATATAACCAAAACGTCTGAATGGTAGTAACCTCACTAAACTCTTCAGATATCACATAGTGGAATACTGAACATAGGGCTCATTGAGAGACTGAGAGTTCTGGTATTAACAGCTAACGAGATTAAAACTCTACCGTCAAACATGGCATACCCAGCAGGTATTTAATGTTCTGTTATAGACTTTGATTTAATTTTAATTTTAGAGTTATAATTAAATTGAAGACCCTATATTTATATTTGGGCTGATTGTAAGTTTTGTCGTCCCATTTGTTCTTGACAGTGGCCATTCTGAAAAGAGCGTACGACAAACACAAGCAACCTCAACTGCTTCATTATCAGCCGAGTCACTAAGTCGAGTATTAAATTTGTATCTTTGTGTTTTAGAACAAAAAGAACAATGTATCAGACTCAGTCTGATCAGTGCTCACAGCTCTAGACATTTGACACTCGGAAGACATTACAGTTGATTGTCAGCTTTCATAGTTTCCTTGGATGAGTTAATTCGCAATGATGTCTATAATATGCTTTGAGTTGTACAACTACAAAGGTTGGGAACTTTGGTATGTGCTAAAGTATTTGTTGCGAATGAGAGAATGTTTTAGGTAAGAGTAAATAATAGAAGACACTCAATATTTTCCAATAACAGCCTAGCTAAGTTAGGGCAATTCGGTTATACGTAGACGGACACATAACGCACTGTTAACACACAGTTAAGGTCACAGGGGGGGGGGGGGGTCCGAGGTCGAAAAAATATTTTTTGCCAGTTGGCAGACCACGTACTACCTGACGCTCGCACACCACCCCACAAAAAATCAAAAATCGGCACATTATACTATTGGAAAAGACCTTGACAAACACTGTTGCCAAGATCCCATGTCGTAAACTGTAAAAGAAGATAGATTTTAAACAAAATTGCAGTTGAAGTTTTCATTTACAATAGGTTTACAATAGGTAAACCTCAAAATTTGACGCGCGATATCTACAGATGGGAAACTTTTTTTTCGGTGGGGACAAAAGCATTCGAATATTTAGATTGAGCTCTACAACATATCTCAAAATCTCGAAATTGTCCACGAAGTGCTATCTCGAAAACAAATCATAGTGAGCCCCCCTTAACTCTAAATTAACCTCTCCCTCTATTTCAGTTGATAATGAGAAGCAGATTTACCAGAGGTTTGCCAACCTGGAGGAATTGTATTTAGACAACAATCATCTCTGTGACCTCTCTACCTTCGCCACTCTGGGGGCTCTCAAAAAGTAAGCCTGGACATTTTATCTTTATTTCTTCGACCTTCAGCTTGAAATTGACGAGTGGGTATCATTAAGATCCCGAACGAATTAATATTGAATCACATCAGTTTAACTCTGAAAACATGATGAGAAATACTAGAGATTGGTTGGTAGTACAATTAAATACTTATCACTTTATCAATGAGACATGAGCCCTAAAATACACGTTTTAAGGTTGAAGTACTTGAACCTTGCTAAGAATCACATCTACTACATACCTCATTTACGGGTGTTGGGTTCTGCAATAGCTCATGTCGAGGACTTTAAAGCACAGAACAAGTCCGCAAAGTCTACTCGGACCAAGTCTCAGAGATCCTCCGCTAACTCTCAGGTGATTAATTAACAGGTGATTAATTAACAGGTAATTAATTAACAGGTGATTAATTAACAGGTGATTAATTAATAGGTGATTAATCAACAGGTGATTAATTAACAGGTGATTAATTAACAGGTGATTAATTAACAGGTGATTAATCAACAGGTGATTAATTAACAGGTGATATTTGCATATCGTAATACTTAAATAAAATTTAGAAGTTGCCATTAAACCTTAAAAATACCAATTAATAACACAATCAAGTTTGGACAAATGGATACAAATTTATTCAGTAAATAAATTGTTCAAGACTTTTGAAACGCCCTTTGTTTCTATTAGTTGATCTTTTGATGATGTAGTAACCCCGTCAGAAAATGAAGCAAGAAATTTCAAACTCGGAGTTTGGTTTGACGAAAAGCAAAATAACTCCAATCCAAACCAAGACACCCAAAAAGCTGATCGATGTTTTACCTGGAAAAGACGACAATAGTGTAAGTAAAATTGTTGATTTGAAAACTTGGCCGAAAAAAGTGCGATTATAAGTATTTTACCGTTATCCCAAGTTTCTTGAAAAAGAAAACAAATTATCAAAACTATTAAAAGAGACAATAAAATTTAAAGCCAGTTTAAACTTTTAAATTATTATTATAATTATTTCTTTCTGCAGGAGGACTCGCCTGATGTGCTGGAAGACGATACCCCCGAATCAGAGATCAGTACCCCAGATCTTGAGGACGAAACCCCAACAATCCGAGATAAGAAACCAATCTCACGTCCAGAAGAGGAGGACATTGAGACAGGGGTGTCCAGGGGAGACTCCCCGGCCTCCCTGAGTCGAGAACAAATAGTTCATGTGGGGAGTAGCAGGTGGGGAAACATCTTTGTTGAATATTTTATAATTGAATATTTAGTTACAGAGAGTTGGCCATTATTAACCGATACTATGATATTCAGAGTTCGATCATATATTGATGCTCAGGCTTCCGTAACATTTCGGGACCAACCAGCTGTATTAATAAATCAACACAACCACAAAATATTCGTTCAAAAACAATTCATGTCGAATAATAATAAGATCTAATTAAATATTCAGCGCATTTCCGGGAGGAAGTGTTAAGAGTGGAATGATGGAACGGGACATGAACAAGTCCGATAGTCCTGATGCCATCAGAAAAAACAAACTCAATGTCGACGCCTATCTGGTCTGTTAATTAACTTTTTGTTTTAAATTAAGGTTATATAAATAAAATAATTGTCATGAGCTTCTAGACCTAATTCTTCGTTATATTAAAATAATCAAGTGTTCCACTTGTTTGAAATAAGTATATCATTATATCATCAACCTTTTGTGCATATATCTGTCTGTCATTATATAATTATAATCCACGAAGAGCCTCTCGTTATAACTTTATAAACGTAGCCACAAAAAGCTCAGCAGTCCGCCCGGAACCTTACAGTCAGAATCTTCCCTCGGCCCTAAAAATCCTTTACACAGTACTAACTCCTTTACACAGTACTAACTCCTTTACACAGTACTAACGTTCACATTACCAGCTCCCCCAGATTAGCGAGGGTAAGTCAACAGCAGAGACAATGTACCAGACTGCGCCCATGCCGCTTCAGCAACCGTTCCCTCAGCTGCAGACTCTTATCTTATCTGATAACGTGGTGAGTACTCTTATCTTATCTGATAACGTGGTGAGTACTCTTATCTTATCTGATAACGTGGTGAGTACTCTTATCTTATCTGATAACGTGGTGAGTACTCTTATCTTATCTGATAACGTGGTGAGTACTCTTATCTTATCTGATAACGTGGTGAGTACTCTTATCTTATCTGATAACGTGGTGAGTACTCTTATCTTATCTGATAACGTGGTGAGTACTCTTATCTTATCTGATAACGTGGTGAGTACTCTTATCTTATCTGATAACGTGGTGAGTACTCTTATCTTATCTGATAACGTGGTGAGTACTCTTATCTTATCTGATAACGTGGTGAGTACTCTTATCTTATCTGATAACGTGGTGCGTACTCATTAGTTCAGCTTCTCCAGCTGATATTATATTAGCGAAATAACGCCAACGATTGGAGTTAATTACATCTAACTGATCAATATAAATAGTTTAGATAAATGTTAATTTTAATTTAGCACAAATAAATAGCTTAATTAAACTAAACATAACAAAATTCAATTTGAATACTTAAAAGCTGGCTATGATAGTATAACCCTATATTTGAACGTCTTAACAAAGTATTCCAGGTTGACATGAAGTTATTATATAATAAGTGGTAAGAAACTTCAAGTTTTGCTAGTATTCGGGCTACCGTTTAGCATTAAAGCTGACAAGTTCAAAAATTGTAACTAAATTTATGATTTGTATTTATGTTAATTGTTAATTGGTAAGCGCCACATCTCACGGAGGCGAACGAAGCATATTTGCTCGACACAAAACAAAAACACACATCACCAAAGCTGTGCAAGGCTACTTAAGCAAAGGCTAAAATTCATCCTCAGATCTCACATTACAAACCAAAGCATGTATCTTTTACTTTGAAAGATAACTTACAACTTACCCAGAACTCTATTCCAGATCTCAGAAGAAGAGGGAGTGTTAGCGTGTGCACTGTGGCCCAAACTCTGCCAACTAGTCCTACACAATAACCCAGTAATAACCCAATGTCGAGGTCTCCCTATTCTTCTCACCCACGAACTCACCCTCCGCAACGGGATCACCATCATCAGAAACCCACCCTCCAAAGTGAAGAAGCCTCCCTCTGTTACAGTAAGCGCAGGAACCCGCCGCATCAAGGAACCCCCTCGACCTCTGCCCAGACAGCCCCACCCAGAGTTGCTAACCCTGGAGTCTGCTCCTTCCCTTGCTCTTCCACCTACTACTGCTGGTTTTCCCTTTAACTCACTAATCATTCAAAATCTAATAATTATCTAATTTCAGCGCTCTTGCCCTATTAAACGAATGCATAGAATGTTCCACCCCAAAATGTTTCTAACTAAATGAACTTCAGGATCCTCAGTGCCTCCCATTTCTCCCTCTGTATCTCTTCCTGAAGCCCAGAAAGAGGCTCCTGAACAGGGCCTCCTGACGAGGGCGTGTTTTTGACTCAAGTGGACGATCAGGAGGCAGAAGAGGAGGATGAAGAAGAAAGTGAGCCTGATATACTGTCTTATACCGCCAGCACTGTTCATATTCCTGATAGATACAAGGTAGACTAATATCAGGTCACATTTACAAATTTGTGTCATTCGAAGAGGTTCATGTTTTTGTTTCATGTGTATGATTTTATTTTGCACCTTTTTGTTTGATGCGTGTAATTTTATTTTACCCTCGGAGTGAATCGTACATATCTCAGGGTTTCGAAGATCTTGTTGACGTTGATGACGACCCCAACGACTATATCCCAGAACATATACAGGTTTATCTATGTTTTGGACTTGAGAATGATATTTTTAGTGTCCTAATTGTTGACGATTGCCGTGAATTCAAACTTATGTATAATTGTTGATACTTTTTTTCTATTTCAGAGTGCTGTAAGTTCCCTCAGGAAAGCACTACAAAAGACTATGATCCTACCCGACATCTATAAACCTGTTTGTAACTCAGAAGTACTTCCAAGGAAGCATATCTACAAGTCTTGCAAGGTATAACATGACTTTGAGGCAATGCGCCGCGCGTTGACGATCTGTAACGCGCGGATATTTTTGTTCTCGCAGTAAGAAAAGTCTAACTTTTCAACAATTTGAAATTTCAGTTGCTATGGCAACAATCCACATGGTTTTCCTAACAAGTTTAAAATAACGAGAATTCTTAACACTTTATTCGGTCAGGGAAAACGTCTGGTTCCAAAGGGCAAGAAAATAGACAAGGATAAACCCCTGAATGATGGATTGCGAATGATAAGGAATCAAAACGTCGCTCTAGAAGGCGGTCTCGGCGACTATATCGCCAGTGAAAATACTAGGACGAAGAAGCAGGGTCGAAGACTGTTGGATCAGGTAATGTTTTCCAAACCCTCCTAGCTATACGATATGCTATGTCTTAGAGCTGCTTCCTTACTTTAGTAATGTTGTCCCAAATAGGGAAACAATACTTGCCGGATACAATTTAACTCCGATACTTTCATTTCAGATTCAAAAGAGATACAATCAAGTAAGAAGTGAATGTTTGCAACAGAGATCCTCTCTTCTGGAAGACATCAGGGGCACTGACCCAAGTATGAAGAGCTCATTCACTCTGGAACAGAATGTACCCAGTTTATCAATACTTCCTCCCCGTACACAGGTACATGATCATTCCATGAGTCTCAAAACCAGTACACCGACAGTACACGGGTCACACCAGAATATTCAACAGAAATCATTGTATTAATAATATAAGCATAGGTATTCATTATTCCGTTACATAAGATATTCTTATTTGCCGTCCATTGCTTGCCACATTAATTAATAAGTACATCTGTATACTCAGTAACAATCCTCTCTGAGACATTGACAAGCATGAAACACGTGTTACAACTGTTGGCATGCAATGTATCCAGTTTACTGTAGTGGATTGTGCATACAGATTACATTAGTAGATAAAATTTACACAACTTAAGTGGGAAAATTGAGAGTAGGTGATCACATATTTCTGTGCCAACAGACCGTGCAATATTAAGCATATCATCTAATCTACAATTTCAATATTATCAAATGCCAACATACAAATTCCCCTCCAGGCAAGCACGTACGACTCAGAGAGAGTTAGCAACACTCCCTACACATTCCGAGAGGAAGAGGATGCAGAAGACTCCATTTCCAGGGAGAGTTCCCAGTATACCCTGTGATAAATCACGTGCTATTCACAAGCTGGCATGTGGCCAACACGTGCTGGATTCTTCAGAGATTTTGTTACGTTTTTGTAAACTGTTAATTGGATAGTATGGAGTTCAGTTGAGGATGTATGAGAGGATGAGAGACAGGATAAAATTAATTTGATGTTATTTGATAAACAGTAATTTAACTTTTTTTAATGCTTTAGATAGATTTTAACCCAAAGATTTGTCATGGCTTGAAGTATATAAACAGCTTTTAAAGTGATAAATAGCTGAAAGTCTTCTGCCTCGCGGTTAATATTTGACAATCAGAACAACAGCTCTATTCCTGCAGATGAGTTCTTATTTAACCACCAACCAAATCTAAAACTTGTGATTTGTTCAGATATAATGTGTAGTTATAGTATGTACATAGGTTTGATAATGTACATATATAATAGGTTTGATAATGTAAGATACATTCGAAGATAATGTTTAAGTTTGGTGATGAGAAAAGTATAAAGATTGTATCCTTTTGTCCATTTGAATTTTACGTTTGTACCTAGCCTGAGAAACAAATAAAATTTGCATTATTAAATCAAAAGCTTGCGTAAAAGATTTTTTCCAATTCCGTCACTCAATTAAAAACGCCGTAATTAAATATCACTTTTTTGAGACACAAATTCGCAAGTATCAAGCAAAAAAGGCACAACTACGAATGAAATTGTACAATGCACTCATGCGACCAATCTGAAGGCGCTTAAACATCTCTTACTCTTTGACAGCAATTAGCCAGAACAGCTTTCAGATAACATGTTTATGAATACATGTTATGTATCATAATTCACATATAGGAATATTAGCAAGATCAAGATAGATACTGGTTAGTTATTCGTACATTTTCGTTTTTTTTTAATTATTCGTAATTTTCTGGTTAATTAGACTTCAGATTTCAATAATTTATCTTGAAGATGAGTGGTCGAAAAAAATCCCTGATTAATTGAAAAAAATCATTCATCATTAAATAAATATCCCACTTAAAAGAAACTGAACTGAAATCCTTATATCAATATTATTCAATATTATTTATCTTCAAACTGATGGGAACCTAAAGCTGATTCATCTGTCTCATCAGGTCTTCTAAACTAGTTCCTTCATCAACCGACACGAGATTGTCTGAAAAAGAGGATTTTACTTGAACTTTATTACAAAAACTCATACAAAATTGAAAATGGCACAGAAAATAACATTATGCGTACAGACTTCACCAACTTCTCTTAACTTGATAATTCCTTTACCTTGCAATGTATCGTTATTAACTTTATCCATCGTGTAAGCGAGTCTGAGACCATCTGTCACTGACAAATCTTCTGATGTGGTCCCACCTTCCTCCTGGTTTTATTATTGGTCGTTTTAGCTTAAACTTAGTTGCTAGCTTACCTTAGCGTTAGAATGATGTTACTAATCCCTAAATGTGTATTTGATTAGCCATGTTTGCAATTATGCCCATCATAAAACTAAGACTTCTAAGATGCCATCTCAAAGCGATGTGTTTTAACTAACGTCCACTAGTGATATTCCCCAATCCTCTTCATGAACTATTTCCTCCTCGACTATTTCTTCCTTAATCGGAGCTGGCGCAGTTTCCGCCCATATCTTCTGTCGTTTCAAACACGCTGATTTAAAATACAAATAAGATTAGGCCGACTTAAAAATTCCTACAAACTATAAGATAATGACTAAGGAATGTCCAATTCAATTCTCCAGAACTTACAAAATAATTGAACCGTAAAGTGACTATTTTGCAACTTACCATTACTGTCACAGGTAGGGTTCGGCTTGAGATTAAATTGCGGGAAGAAATCGTTCAGTGCATTGTAGCCCAAGTATTCTGTTACTTCACCAAACTACACGAGGAAATACAAATTAAAATTTGATGTGTGATTTCTCATTTCTGAAGTTGTGCAACCGATCTCGATCAGCTAATGTCACGCAATAATAAACGCGCGCGCGCGACAATTTCACGTGTCCAGCGCATTTGTAATCACACTTTTTATATTCGCGTGTTCCATATCTTACGGATTGCCACATGTCGCACTAATCATATCTTACAGGGTTGACTTACCTTGAGCAAGTATTTGAGGGTATTTTGGACAAGCAATCCAGCGACTACACCCATTGTTGTCGGCAACGATGCGGCACAAACACCTGAAGATAAGAAGTAAAAACATAAGATAACTTTTTTCACCTTTCCCAACTAACACACAAACTTAACTTTCATAAACATGCGATAACTCGGGAGCCAGATGGCGATTTGAAAAGTCTGTTTGTGAGTATTTGAGCATACCTTCTCTTTTGAGTGTTTTCTCATCGATCTTACTGGCAACAACAAGTGGGGGTGCACACGCAAAGCAGGCTGTTCGTCCTACAGGGAAAATAATTTGTCAAAACAATAATTTATACTGGGTATCACAAAAGTGCCATTAACAAATGAAAGAATAAATAGAAGGTATCATAAATAACATATGATACGTTCTTCTTCCTGTATTTTAATGATAAACATTTACCAGGGTCCAGTAGTTGGATGTGTCCAGATACTGCGTTCTCACTTACTCCACTCTCTATCCACACTTGACCTAATTCGTTGCATGCCTGTGTAATGGAGCAGCTTTTAGAGTTTCAGGAATTCAATTTATATCTCTATATTTATTATAACTCTGTTATTCACATTTTTCCGGAAGTATTCTCTCGTTCAAGATAAGTGAAACTAATCAATTGAATGATGTACCATAGAGTGGTTCATTTTACCAAAAGTTGTTCAAATAATTAGAAATCATATCTTATTAGTTGCTCTATAGGGTCAGGAACGACCAAAAATTTTTTTTTGACTCTAGTGTTCCGGATATGGTCCGCACATGCCACGCCCATTTTTATAGCGTTTCTTATACAGGTAAAATTGTCTAAATCGTCAATTTAGTCATGAAGGAGTATGGAAGGAGTTCTGAATGTGTGCTCCTCTAATATAAACAGTAGAAAATGGTTAACTTTAGTCGAGGTATCAGGTCTCTACAATGTCGGGAAGTTCCTGCAGGAGTTTGCGCATTGCGCTGAAGCGCGGGATTCACTGCGCCAAAAGTGAAGGTCGTAGAGACATGAGACCTTGACTAAAGTTAACCTTTTCATACCATTACTATAGGAGTGTGACACTTTCAGAGTCCTGAACACATTCCTATATCACTTAATCGTCAATTATATGAATTTTACCTGTTAAAATATATCATCTTTAACTGATATCAATTTAGTTTAACACTGTTAGCTTTTAAATAGGAAATAATTTACTTCACACCAAACTTACACACAATATGAGAGTATAAAAAAAGGAGGCTTTCTTGGAGACTACCTGGACCGAGCATCAAAATAGTACACATTGCTGCAGTCATTGTCGAGACTCAAAAATGAGAGGGTCTAGTTGTGGGATTATACTGGATAACAGATATGATGAGTGGTAACATCCTACAAAAGAATGTTAGCTTACTAAGTAATTTTCCTCTTAGCGAATCCTACGAGAACTTAACTAAGTTCCTCCTAGTCCTAAGCATTATCTTGTTTCAGAGGGACTGAGTCATTTTAAAAGATGAAGCCAAAGAAGAGATTCATCTGTTCCGTTCATAGCCGATAGTTGTGAAGAAGGCATTTGCACTCTGTAATTTGTAAGCAAATTTTTTCGATATTTATAGTTATTTACTGACCTTGACGAATCAGCAAGATATCACTGGACCTCGTTAGTCGTTAGTCATGTTATGCTGATCCAGTTAGTTACGAGCTATCAAGTAATCATTCGATCTCATTAATACTGATCCTATCAATGACGAGCTATGAAGTAATCAGTGGATCTCGTCAATACTCATCCTGTCAGTGACGAGTTATGAAGAAATCAACGAAGACCTCATTAATTTCCTTGTTCCACGAAGATATTCAATTCCTCTGGTAACCAAACCCCTTCTGGCCTACTTCAATTCTGAACATATGAAGATTCGAAAACCAAGTCTACCTAAATCTGAACTTTCTGACTGCGTTGGAGAATGGAGAACAATCGAGAAATGATAACCAGTCCCAGGATATAATCAAAGTTCAATTTGGAATCTTTTTGTATTTCTTTATGCTAAGTGTGAGTTTGGTGTGAAGTAAATTATTTCCTATTTAAAAGCTAACAGTGTTAAACTAAATTGATATCAGTTAAAGATGATATATTTTAACAGGTAAAATTCATATAATTGACGATTAAGTGATATAGGAATGTGTTCAGGACTCTGAAAGTGTCACACTCCTATAGTAATGGTATGAAAAGGTTAACTTTAGTCAAGGTCTCATGTCTCTACGACCTTCACTTTTGGCGCAGTGAATCCCGCGCTTCAGCGCAATGCGCAAACTCCTGCAGGAACTTCCCGACATTGTAGAGACCTGAGACCTCGACTAAAGTTAACCATTTTCTACTGTTTATATTAGAGGAGCACACATTCAGAACTCCTTCCATACTCCTTCATGACTAAATTGACGATTTAGACAATTTTACCTGTATAAGAAACGCTATAAAAATGGGCGTGGCATGTGCGGACCATATCCGGAACACTAGAGTCAAAAAAAAATTTTTGGTCGTTCCTGACCCTATAGAGCAACTAATAAGATATGATTTCTAATTATTTGAACAACTTTTGGTAAAATGAACCACTCTAATGTACCACCCAGGCCAACGTAAAACTAAGAAAAGCTAACCTGGTTGATGGCCATCCTGGCCTCGAAATTATCCACACAAGAGAGAACGAGATCAACAGGGTTACCCTGGAGACCACCAGTACTGATAGTGGTCATGAAGTGGTCAAAGTGGTCCACGTGTGTAATGTTGTAGTTGTGGGTGTGTATTTCTACGTCCGGGTTTATGTTGGTAAGTGTATCACGTGCTGCTTCAACTTTTGATAAACCTTTGGATGTGTCATGAATTAAGGAGACATTTCAAAACATGACAAATGAAGTCACAGCAGAGTTGGGAATTTTACCATTTAAGAAAGTTTAATTCTTTCAAAATCTTTCATACAGTGTCTGAAAAATATGAAATTCTACGACTGAAAAACAAACCAGACTGGTCGGGAGTAAAGAAGAGCCGGTACGACTGAAAAACAAACCAGACTGGTCGGGAGTAAAGAAGAGCCGGTTCATGTTGGCCAGCTCGACCTTATCGTAGTCGAAGAGTATGAGTTTGCCAACTCCACACCTTGTCAACATCTCGGAAGTAACACTTCCCACCCCACCGACCCCTACAACTGCCACTGTGTAGTTCCTGGTGTATTACTATTTAGCTCATGACTGAGGTGTTACAGCCGCTAAAATGGGTTGTTAGTGATCTGTATAAAAACATAATAACAAGAAGTGTGTTAAATCTTGTGTTAAATAACTTGTACCTTATTTCCTGATAGTTGTCCACTATTCCCATACGTTGAAGAGCCATAAGCCTTGAATATGGGTTACTGTCAACGACCTGAAAATGAAATATTTTCAGTTTTGATTTATGAAATAATTTTTCACAGAGCATTGTTTTAGTTTAAACGAGCTGAACTCCCATCATCTAAATTCCGGTAGTCAAGATGTAACATATCATAAATTAGTAAGAATCAAGATGTCATGCCACAGATTTTGGCCTTAATTCTTTAATTCCATTTCTCAACCAAAACTATGGCCGGAACCATGTACAACAACCTAAAGCGTTGTGGGAGATAACAGTATAATAAGCTGTAGCCGGAGAGACTAGAGATCTATTACCCCGGTGTAAAAACATAATTACATTGGGGGTTTCACGTGACTAAATGTAATGTTTTAGTCAGTTTATGTTTTTAGCAGGTTATTTTTTAACAAATAATCTTATCAAGTTTTGGTGTCAAAATACAACAAAGCATTGAGATAATATTATGTTCTGCTGAGATTACCATTCTAACATTGTTTTTCAACCGCCGGATTGTTTTAAAAGTTGTAGCCGAATTGTAAAACTTGCACCTACAGCAAATCATGTTCCTGCAGGGGATTCCATCAAAATAAATCTTATTATATACGCGGGAGTCAAGTTATTCATACCACAAGTGGCCGTATACGATTAAAATCTTTTGAAAGGTCTCCTGTACTCACAATCCCACGCATCTATATTTTATATCATATTTTTCCCTGCTCTTGCCGAAGGCAAAAAGATCGTAGGGAATAAGTAATCGGGTTTGGATATATGAGCTATCCCGATGGACCTGCGGTGACGACAAAAGTCTGCTCCTTCGCAATATAGACCACTCCCCTATAATTATGCGTAAAGGAAGCGTCTGTTATGCTGCGCGCGACGCTCGGCATGTGTTAGTTAATTGCAGTATCCAACGCGAATTTCAATTGTCAAACGATGCCGTTCAAATTAAATTAGCCCAAAATTTGTGCGCGGCGTACTAAATATTCGAGTACATGCAATCCTGCACGCGCGCAATGACAAATTACGATGAAAATATTGCAACTTTTTAACAACAAAATAATCCAATATCTAATTTTTATCAATCGATAAAATTAACTTTTCGTTGCAAATATTAACGGTTTAACTTTAAGCAGGGAAAATTAATCGTGCGTGGTGTAACCGCGGCGAAATTCTTGTTTTTACTATGATTTAAGTTGCCGGTGATAACTGATTGATGGCACATTTCAAATCAGAAAATAATTAATTTTATCTCACACCAGGAAATTAAATATGACCAGTGAGCAGTTTCTGGTCCGAAGACCAAAGCAATATCGTGGTACAAACACGAGACACCTCAGTGTTCAAGAAGTTGGCAGATTCAACGATCTGAACCCAGAGGAGCCCATGACGGTGTGGTCAGTGCATTCTGGCGATGATACCCCCGAATTGTGCAGAATTCCTCAACTAGAAGCTCCCATTCAACTGCCAATGAGTTTGCGAACTGAAGAACCGGCTGAGCCGAGTCTGGATTGTTCATCAGTAGATAAGATCTTGAGGTGGGCTGAAGCTGTGAATTACAATATGTGTGATGTTGACATAGTGGCTAGCAGGAGATTGATAAGAAAGTTATGTCAGATTCCCTACAATAGAAAAGATCCGTGGAAGGCCAAATTATACAAATACAACAACACCCTGTACCTTGAGAGTGACGACACACAACTAGATGGTCCCGTGTTTTGGCCAGATGATTACAGGAAGTACGGGGAGTGGGGTGTTGTGTTCGAGGACGTGATGAGGACGGGAGGGAGAAGAACGGCCGGATATTCGTGTCAGGATGTGGATATCAGGATGACACGACTTGTCCAACTAGGACACCTGAAGCTACTAACCAACTCTAGGATACCCTGTCGATTACCCGGGGATCACCAGGATGTCCTGGAGAACTACGTTGAGTTAAAAACAGCCCCAGTAATTGAAACAGATAGGCAGCATGTAAATTTTGAAAGATTCCAAACCAGGAAGTTTTGGGCTCACTGTGCTCCTCTTGGCATAAACAAAGTCTACGTTGGATTCAGAACAGAAGACGGAGATCTGAAGGCAATACAGAAATTCACAATGAAAGATCTAGAAAGAATTGCATCAAACTACTGGCGACCAGAATGCATGCTGTCCTTCCTAAAGGAGCTGATGTTTTGGTTACAAGATAAGACAAGTAATGGTATGACGTATAGTCTCAATTATGATGGTCAGGGATTTAATGATCCTGTGAAACTCGTTCCTGGGGAGCAAGATGATTTGGTGAGGATTGTAAGGGCGACCTTTCCAGAAGAGTAAGAAGGCGCTGTTCCAGAAACTGTATCAAATTTCCAGAATATTCTACATTTTGATTTTAGTGTAAAACATACTAATTTAAACTAATTACAACACTACAAATCTATTACATTTATTGAGAAAATTATGTAATGTAACGCGATGGAAGTTCTTTAAGCGGGCAATTCCAGTCCAAACCCTGGAAACATGACATAAAAGATTTGTTTTTACTTGTTTGAATGAAAAGCACTAATACTCATCATCGTACATTAATTGGTTATCCGTAGATCTATTATAATATGATAGAGCCTGAGTATCTTGTGGTTTATCAGTCACGACTACTTAACCTATTACTCATACCTAATTTATTAATATCAATAATTCGATATTAAATGCAATGAAATATTACCCAGCCAGTTTTATTTGATGACTCTTAGTTACTAGAAGTCTTAGCATATTGATTATTAATGTTACAACGTAAAATGGTTCATCAGTGCAGGACCAGGATTCAAAAAATAGGCTGATTTTAATTAAGACAGGATTCCAGTCGAGCCTTGACTATGGCCCCTTTTCAACCCTAACCCTTTACCAAATTCAAAGCTTTACCTTCGCCTAAAAACAGGTAGGGCATGAGGAATTTAACAATTTGCACAAGATTACTAATAGTAGGTACAGTGAATTTATAAAGATATAACAAACCTCACTACTCATTGTAGCAATCTTCTGTCTGACTGGCTCCACTTTTTTAGACTTAAGGTCTTTCAATTCCTGCTCTGAAATTCGGCATTACTGTGAATGATAACAGTTTTCCAAATTCGATAATTAACTTTTAAGTTGCATATAAGGACCACAGATATAGATTGGAAATACTGAGCAAAATTAGACTTAATAATATTTATAGTGAAGGCAAAATATCATCCAACCTTTTAGTTTATTTAGAAGCACACGAACTTACCAAGCTGTTCACATTTTCGTTTCCAGTATATTTTCTCATTGATATCGTCATTGAGTTGTTGGTCAAGCTTTTGTTGCAGTTGCTTAATGTTGTTGAGCGTTGTGGATGTTTCCTCAACACAGCGAGACATTCCTATTGACAGCTGTTATATTCATAAACAAATTTCCATTGTAAATATTTTCAACTTTCTATCTACGAAAATTCATTATTGAATTATACATATACACCTACCGTACTTGATTTCCTAGTTTATACCACCATTAAAATGTGTTTTGGTTCGAGGTTTTTATCTGCATATTTAAAGAATCATGTTTGAACATAGAGATAAGTGATAAGTCGACCCATTACCAGTTGTTAAATTTGCTTTCCTCATTATATGAGAGAACTCCAGGAGTCTTGCTACTATACATATCAAGTAGCCAGCAGCATATAGCATCACAGAAAATGGAATTGTTTTAGCGCAAGTGGGGAGTTCTAGTTGACAAGGGTTGAATTTTTTAAAGAAATTGAAAAAATTTTCACAGCAATTGAGACCTAAAAATACTTCAAAGATGCATTTACTGAGTAAGTCAATCAGAAGATAATTTTGTGAGTAGTCTGTGATAACATTAGAGGACGTTGCCGCTTCGACACGCAGCGCAAACTATCATTTTTGCTCGCAGAATGTTGCTCGTGGAAAGTTGCTCATGGAACGTCGCTCGCGGAACGTTACTCAATCTAAGTAAACTATAGGTAAAAATATAATATTAATCATAAGCTAAAATGTACTAATCTTTGTATTCTAAATGGGGAAAAAGAAGAAACATTGTCAGTCAGTCGAGAAAATTGTCAGTCAGGCTATATGGCAGCTTTGTACAACAAACTCGAAGGGTTGACATCGTCAATCAAGGGATAACATTTAAATCAAACATGAATAAATTAGATATATATTTCAAGGGGTTGTTCACATGTTACGTAATCAGCTGAGGGGGGGGGGGGGATTTCCGAATGATTACGCTAGTGTTATTTTGACACAATAGCTATGTGTAAAACTGATTACGGATGGGGGGGGGGGGGGGGGGGGGGGTAAAAATGTTCCATAAAACGATTACGTAATATGTGAACGACCCCTAAATACAGATGTTTCCAAATATGAATCATGAACAAATCAACATGGAATGGTAAGTATACATATAATAGTTTAATACCTTTCTGACCGTTTTTGATCGGGAATCGTCTTTAAATTATTTTGGGGAATATTTTGACTTGATATAACGACGTCGTCGTAATGACACAAGTGACTGATCAACCACCTTATTTGATAGTGTTTTTAAAAATAAAGTATTTATATTTTTAACTTGGGGTGTAAATATATTTAGGGTTTTTATTTTTTAAATTACAGATCTTTCATACTATTTGTTACTAAAATGCTCATTGTAGCCTATAATATTTAGATTTTCATCATCATCATCATAATACCTTTCATGTTGATTCGTTCGTAATTCATAATTAGAAACATTTGTATTTCCCTTTAGGGAATTGCTCACAGGGAAATGAGAAATAGATTCCATTTTTAAGACATCAATTTCCTCATTCGGAATCAATGAAACGAGAAATTTGATGGGGATGGAAATAGAGAAGTAAACAAAAGTAAACAGTAGCAGTAAAATTAAGAAAGTCCACAGTTCTTTTCTTCCGGAGAGGGTGAGACCATATTGGAACAAACTGATTTATGATTTGATTTAAACAATTTCAATCTGATTCACGATGTCAATTTGATTCACGATGTCAATCCTTCGCATTTCGCCGATCTGCATACGATGGTTGCGAGAAGCATTATTGGATGCGCGCGCGCGACCCAGTAGTGCATCGCGCTACAAGATGTCAATCATTTGCAGCTCAGCTAGGCTGCTAACTGCTGCTGTCGCGCTATTTGCAGCAGTTAACAGCAGTTAGCAGCAGTCAGCAGCAGTTAGTAGCAGTTAGCAGCAGTCAGCAGCTACTATAGTTACCCCTGTGAGTAGGGCATCGCACTATAACATCTCAATGGACCTTTTGTAGATATTTTCACTTAATTAGTCTAAGTTTACCTTTCTGCTTCAATCTGTCCATCCTCAGATGTGATTTCAGTTTACTTTTGATAACGCTAGATTCTAATAAGTCTTCAAAAAAGTGAAACAAAAAACAACACCGCGCGCGTAGCCTCGACAGTAAATGTTGTGTTGTGATACAAAAATAAAATGTACACGCGCCGCAATTACGTGCACAATGATCAAAAATAACTAAATTATAAAAATTAATTAATATAATAATCATTCCAATATTTAATTCCAAATACTGAATTCACACAGCAATGTGTCTACACATTTTGCGGTCGTGCGTTAATATTGCAAACGAGATCAGGGCTTTGGTTTATATTACCTGAGGACCCCAGGCTATTATGTTCATTAACGAAGGCTATTATGTTCATTAACGAACAAAGATTTGGCGGAATGACAGGCTGAGCGCGGCCCAGTAATGGTTTATAGGGCAAAATACTGAATACATTAATTTAAATTTGACGATGTCAATTCATCGCAGCTCGGGCCTCGGCGAGGCCCAATGGCACATTTCGCCGATCTAACGAGATGCATAGTTACAAGAGGCATGGTTTCGAAAAGCATAATTGAGTGCGCGGCGCAGCCCAGTAACGCATCGCGCTACAACTGAAAACAGTGAAATTATTCATTTAAAAATAATTTTAAATCATTTGCTCATTATTTTATTGTATATGATTATTTTACACATTATATTACACATTAATTTCAACTTTACATTGCATTATTAATGACACATTAAAAATTATTATTTTCAGTTTAAGTTTCAAGTTTAATATGTAGCTCGATGCACTATTTAATTATGTCTTAATTTAATTATGTCTTAACAGGTGATACTCGTAAAATATTTGTTTTAGATATTTAGATAATTAGATCGTTCCAACTCGGCGCGCGTCGGCTAATATTAAATACTAGTGGACTCTATGCAGCTCTCCCAGCGCCCCTAATTTTACTGATCTGGAGGTCACATTTTATTGAGCCAGTACAGGCTAATATTAAATACTAGTGGACTCTATGCAGCTCTCCCAGCACCCCTAATTTTACTGATCTGGAGGTCACATTTTATTGTTCATTTTCTTGTTTAACTATTCAATCTTTGTCTCGGCGTTCATTCTCTGTCTCGACATTTATTCTCCGTCTGACTATTTAATCTGTCTCAATGTTCATTCTCTGTCTCGACGTTCATTCTCCGTCTCACTATTCAATCTGTCTCAATGTTCATTCTCTGTCTCGACGTTCATTCTCCGTCTCACTATTCAATCTGTCTCAATGTTCATTCTCTGTCTCGACGTTCATTCTCCGTCTCACTATTCAATCTGTCTCGACGTTCATTATTTGTTTAACTATTCAATCTCTTTCTCAGTGATCATTCTTTGTTTAACTATTAAATCACTGTTCATTCCTGTCTCGACGTTAATTCTCCGTCTCATTATTCAATCTCTGCATCAGTGTTCATTCTCTATTTTAGAGTCAATTCCCTGTCTTACCTATCAATCTTTCTCGGTGTTCATTCCCTGTCTGACTGTTCAATTTCTGTCTCACTGTCCATTCTCTGTCTCGCTGTTCAATCTTCGTGTTTCTTTCAAAGTGTTACAGTGACAAGGAGACCGAATGATATTGTTTTTTTTTATAATCAGAGGAAGCAACTCACGGTATCACTCTCAGAAGAGACATGTTTCATCATTTACCGGAATTGCAACCAAATATACACAATAAGGTTTGGTACTTTATCCGTACATCCCCTTTAATAGCTACAATAAATTGTCTATAAAATTTACATAAACAAACTTAAGAGACCTCAAAGCTCGTCTTCTGAGGGATGAGATTGAAGGATACGTCATCCAGTCCAAGGTGCTGGGCTTTTTGTCTTCCTCTGATTCCCCTGAGTGCTATGAGTGTGCTTCGTAGCAGATCAAACCTGAATCGTGTTCTGATGTGATATTGTTGTAAAATAAAAAGCTTGTCCGCTTTAGTTGTAGTGATATTAAAACATATACAACACCATGTATTATGAAATTTTAGATTTTGTTACAAAATATGGACAGTGAATTTGATGTTGTTGTCTAATAATACAAGACGTGAGGCGCGGCGACATTATAAATTTTAGAATTGCCCGCGCATTTTAGTACTTTGCCGCGGCTCCACTAGTATTTAACGTTTACCGCGCGCGTCTTGGTAGGTTATAAACCTACAATTCACATAGCCATGTGTATACGCGTACTGCAGTCGCGCGCTACTGCAAGCGAGAGGGCTCTGGTTAGAGCAAAACCTACAACATAAGTCATAAACCCTAATCCATAATTGAATCACAACCCTAACCCTAAGTATAATACAAAACCCCGAAACTAACCATTTCCCTAACCACAATTTTACTAATAACCCAAGCCCTAAACAATCGAATTCGTGTTTTAATTATATAGACTGTCACTTGACCAAAACGGTTTTTTGACCATCATTCTCCAGGGAAACATTTTTACCTCACGTCATGGAGGGTGATTCGGAATCAGCGTCCAAAAATACACTGAGTTAAACTACTCTCATACCCTCAGGCCCTTTTCACAAGAATTTTCTTAAAATTTGGGCGAGCGATTCAGTAGGAGCGCAATTATTTGTTATTTCCTCAACAACTTAATGTTGAATGTTGACTTGAAAATGTGACTTTTTTACATCCTACAATTTTAAGGGTCATTTTAAAGGCTCTTGATAAAATGCTGCGTCTCGGTACCAGCGAAACAAAAATACAATATTGTTGTTTGTATACGTCTTCTTAAATTTTTGTTTTATCGTGTTGTTTACAGTACATTACAATGTAGATGTTCTGAAGTAAAAATAAATGAAATAGTGATAATTATAATAATTCTATACAGTTACATAATTGAAACAATTATGGTCCCTTATAGTGGGCAGAGTATGTGTCTTTGTTCAAGTGTTCAAATGAAATAGTAACAGTGAAATGTATTTGCACACAGAATGCTATATCTTGATACATGCAACATTAAGTTAACTTATCATATCTGTGAGTTTATTCAGTTTGTAATCAACAATTATGGTATTTATGAGGTTAAATTGATCATTAAATGATACTTTTGGAGTAAGTAAAAATATAATACTGTGTTGAACATTTTTGTCATTTATTTTGTTATGCTTTCAGTATCTGACTTATGTAAGCAAATTCCATTGATTGAAGCTTCTTCTGGCACTAGGTCAGTTAAACTAGAAAAAGGTCCTTTACCAGGCATCATTATATCTGTAAGTGACATCTTATCAGCGAAATCTCCCATTTCACTCATTGCAGCATTTTTAGCTGCTTTTGATGCAGCTTCAGTTTTCTCTTTTAAATATTTCATTGTTTCCTCTGATAGTTTTGAGTATGTTTGGAATGCATAGGAGAAGAGAGCAAAACCAAATGTAACTGACGAAAACAGCATTGCAGCCTGAAAGTCGTATTTCGTCATTTAAGGGTTGAAGCTGATAATATAATATGTAGTTTATGTATTACTGTCCAGTATATAATTTAAACGAAATATGTCATATATTAAGTTTATTAACTTAAAGTCTTACCTGCTTTGGATCATTTGGGTGTCCAAGATAATAATCTCCAAATCCCACTGTAGTCAAAGAAATCATGCAGTAATAGACACCCTGATAAAGAGTCCAATTTTTACCATACACTGATATCTCATTCTGCGTGTGTGTGTATCCATAACCAGATAAGGATATCACACTTGCATTACTGTAGATTTCACCCACGCGAGATGAGAAGTACCCAAAATCTGTGATTTAAACATTAAATTAAAAGATTACTAAGACCAGTGCAATAGAATTTACTAAATATAATGATACACTTTTTTGGTCAGCAATCTCCCGATTCTTATGATTTGCATAAACAAATCAGTCAGTTGAAACGATTTAAATCTCTCATTGGAGGGCACTCATATTTTTCTTCTTTAACTTACAAGACAAACCCAATAAGAAGAGGGACATGATGATTGCAATATTAATGTAGGCGATTATAAGTTCGGTGTATCTGTGTTTGCAAATTAATTTTACAAAACTGCTTTTTTCGTTCATATACTCAAACATGCTGACGATAAACTTTCCTGCAGAAACGATTAGATTTATTACTTATTAAACTTATTTATTATTCAATTGTAAGGCTTCTGTTACAATTACGATTAATAAAATTTGTTATGAAACAACATTTTGATTCTAAAGTTTGGTGCTGATTCATAAATCATAAACAAAACCTGATGCTCCTAGCATGATAAAGTATAGGGGAAGTCCTGCCATGGCATAAAGGCAGCAAGCTACCTTACTGTACCAAGTTGTAGGATGTAACACTCCATAACCTGGGAAGATGAGCTCACCACTTAAGAAATTTTCTATGTAATAATGGTTGTGTGGTTTTTTGTTACCTCATTAATTTGCTATCCAAAATGTAAAATAACAAATTGTAGAAATTTATTCAAATTGAATACTGGAATGCACTCATTGTATGAGAAGATAGACAATATAAATCATACTTTTGATCAGTGTACACTGTACTACTACTGAAATACTTAAAAATTAGCTTTGTTACTGGACCAGAATGCCAGAGATTTGAGCGAAAATATGCCAGATTTTCGACTGAACAAGATATCCTGTTGGTTCCCTCTACATTCATAGTTAAATAATTTAGTCAATTGTGATTCATCAACACAGCAATACAAAGTCCATGTTCCACACCCACCATTAAAAAGAGATAACACTCCTTACCTTCTTTGTTTTACTAAAATCTATGTTTTACTTACCCACAGTAGTTATAACAGAGACACAGGAATCAAATGCAGCCCAGAAAGACCACCTTTTTCTGGGATATTTGGTGATGTGACAGAGAAGGTCTGCTGCCCTGCTGTATTTTTCAAGGTTTGAGGAGTTTTGTAGAATCGGATACAATGAAAACAACTGTTCCCGTTCTGCTAATAGTATAATGCTGTTGTTTCTCTGCTCCTCTGAAAAGAAGATCCATATTTTACCTGGTACCATGGTTTACTTATGCAAAAAAGCACGAAATTATTTGATAGCATGGTATACTGCAACTTATTTGCCTTATAATTAAAAATATTTGATCAACTCACTGCTTATATTTTTTTACATACAAACCAAACGTTAAGACAACCTTGCATTTTTGGTTAGATAAAGTGAAAAAATTCCTTTGATACGAACCAAAGTATTGAGTTTGGAAGTAGTTAAAAGCATAGAACCCTCCTGTGAAATATCCAAAGTTTGTAAGTGTCACAGTTATTGTTCCCCAAATCACAAGAAGAGTTCTCCTTTTTACCAATCCCCAGCAACAGGTTCTTTCATCCTTTATCGGAGTGTTCTCATCATTATTTCCTGTGTCGTCGTTTTCTTCAGCTTCGCTAATCATCGGTGATATCACTGAATAAAAGACTTCATTACTCTTAATCATTGACATTTCATTTTTTCGGTGCCTCTTATGAGCCTTCAGTTTCGTCCTTTTGATCTTAAAAACGGAATTTTAACATCAAAGAGGGTTAATTGTTCATTTAAGTTCCCCTCTGTTGACTCTCCAGCTTAACCTTAGCTTTGTTAAATGCGATTTCCTAGTTCAACTTGCAATAATAATGATATTGCTGAAGCTCAGCTAGAAATATTCTTAAAATAACAGGCATTTTACTAATAAAGTATGGTGCATTAACTCAAAGCAAATTGTGGAAGCAAGGTTTAAATCATAAACTCTGCGACCAACTATACTGTAACAAAATATATTCATTTTAACTTCTCAGTTTTGAAGCAAAAAAATGTCGACAAAAAAGGTAGGATTGAACAGTCCAAACTAGTTAAAAGTTATGTAAGCCGCATTTACTGGCCGTGGGATATTTCTCAACAGGAAAACGTTGTAACTTCTAATGCAGTAATAGGTATGTCTATTCATTTACATAATCTAATCACTCGATCACATCAAATTTATCTAAATTAGTCAGTTAGTTAATATGGGTTTTGCAACATGACTTTCATGGTAGTTCTGAATATGATTAACGATGCAATAATGCCAACGATGGGCTTAACATAATTTTCATTTTAGTCTATTTGGGGTGTAAAACACAGCATTGTGGCACACTAATTGTAACTAAAGCGCAGAAACATTTAACAAATTTGTATTATTTTTAGTTTCCCGAGAGTAGACTTCGCAACGTAATATCGACTGTTCGTCGATTATTATACAAGTATACAGTAAGCACCTTAAACCAGTCAAAGTAATAATTAGTTATAAAAAGGGCAGGAACCGAGAGTGCCCAATGTAATGTCAATTTTACGACAAGATGTGACAAGGAATTACAGGGAATGACAGGGAATGACAAGGAATGACAGGGAATGACAGGGAATGACAAGGAATGACATGTAATGACATGTAATGACAGGGAATGACAGGGAATGACAGGGAATGACAGGGAATGACAGGAACGACAATATCCGACAAACCGTGGGAAAAGGGCACTCTCGGTTCCTGCCCTAAAAACGTAAAATTATTTATACAGCCTCTAGAAGCAGTGCAGTATAGATAGAGCCTCTACTGTATTAATTGTCCGACTGTCTAAACAAGAAATAGAGCCTCTACTGTATTATTATAGTTAGACTGTCTAAACAAGAAATAGAGCCTCTACTGTATTATTATATTCAGACTGTCTAAACAAGAAATATAGCCTCTACTGTATTATTATAGTTAGACTGTCTAAACAAGAAAACGTCTATCATTTTAATTTTAAAATGTCCAGTATGTGTCGAACAATTATTGATATTATGCGATGAAAAACGTGTGGCAATAAAACATACAAATGCATTCAAATTATAATGAATAATATGTGGCAAAAAACATTACTCCAACGAATGCAGCAACTCATTTTTAGAATCCCTAGTCACGTGGTGTATGTTACAAACAAATGCACTAAACTTACTGAACGTCATTCAAGTATTGAAGTTGTGTAAACGACATAGGCAAAGAGAAAGCAGTAATGATTGTTCTTGATATTGCACTGACATAATCGGTAAACATGCTAATTTCACATCTCTTTCTACAGAAAAAAAAACCAGGTGTTATCATGAACTTACGGTTTTTCAGAGCCAACCACCGTAGAAAATTAAGAAAACTGACTTATCAGAGACCACTCTCACAAATAAAACTTAAATTCAATGGAGCGGTAAATTATGGTAATAGATTGATCAGTACGACAATGGAATGATTGAAATATTTAATCACAATCATGTAAAATGAATGTGTTGGAACTTGCGCCAATTAAATAAATAAATACATAAATTGTGGGAAGGCTTTAGCAATCTCGCTCATTTTCTCTGCCTTGCAAGAGGTCGATTTGTATTAATAGTAATTGCACGGAAATTAATTTCTTTGAATTAGCCATCGTTAAAACACGACTACACAATCATTGAACCACGACTACACAATTAAAGAAAACGAATTACAATTAAATGAAACGAAACAGGGTATTCTCACTTTTCATATCCCGTCTAATACATAATTTAAACATGCTTAAAAGGGTCTTTAAATTTGGGCATAAGTAAGGTAATCAGAATATTAAACGAAGAAAGTTCTATAAAATTAGGGGTCCTGCCTTCACATTAAAAAGAACGTTTGAATAATGAACTATATTTCAGTTTCTACTGCAGTGCTCACATCGGTTGACTTAGGTGAGTAAAATCCAGCGATTGAAATTTTCTTCGGCATTATTTTCGTAACTGAAAGCTTATCAGTCAAGTCCCCCATTATTCCTGGGACAGAAAGTTTATCAGTCAAGTCTCCCAGTTCACCCATTGCAGCATTAGCAGCCAATTTTGTTGCAGCTTCAGTTTTCTCGTGCAAATATTTCATTGTTTCCTCCGATAGTTTTGCATATGTTTGGAATGCGTAGGAGAAGAGCGCGAAACCAAAAGTCACTGATGCAAACAGCATTGCTGCCTGAAAGGTTTAATGAGGGTTTAATTTTATGGAATTTATTGAATATAGAGGCCGTCCCGTTGCCAAACCTAATCTCCCAATTTCCCAAAACAGCATCGAAGCCTGAAAGTTGCACTAATGGCTATTAAGGGATCAGCTTGTACTACTTAGAGTACTTACAGTCCATTTGACGGGATCACTTCCGGATAACAGTATCAAATATTGAGTACGTCTATCAAGTTAAGAGTTTAGAGCTTATTTTGCATTTTTTCCACACTTTACTGCCTGTATAATACGATCAAATGCATTATTCAGGCCATCTGGCATTTCCTTCTCACCTACCTCCAGGTGCATTATTCAAGTTTATTCGATTGATTTTCAACAAAATGTCACCTGTCGCGGATCATCTGGTCGTCCAAGATAATAATCTCCAAATCCAACTGTAGTCAAAGATATCATAGAGTAATAGACACTCTGGAAGAGTGACCAATTTTGACCATAGACTGAGATCTCATTCTGTGTGTCAACGTATCCATGGCCAGCTAGTGATATCGCACTCGTATTTCTAAAGATTTCGCCCATACGAGATGAGGAAAATCCGAAATCTGTAATAGTTTTAAAAACTTTTGGATAAACTTGAACTGACGTATAAAATCTCGTGTGCATGGTCGTTGACAAGGTCATTTATTTTGATTTGTCATTAAATCTTCTGATTCTTAACCATCCATAAAATGGTGTTTGTAAGTATGTAACTTACAAGAATAACCCAGAAGGAAAAGGGCCATGATGATTGCAATGTTAATGTAGGCGATTATAAGTTCGGTGTATCTGTGTTGGCAAACTACTTTCACAAAACTGCTTTTTTCGTTCATTTTCTCAAACATGCTCACAATGAATTTTCCTGAAGAAACGACATTACTTTTCAAATAATATTATGAATTGTCATTTTTGAAAGTCTTTTAAATCATAATTTCGAGTTATGGACATTTAGTGAAAGCTTCTCTTCTAAAGTTGTGTGCTAAATTTAAAATCATTCATGAACCTGATGCTCCTAGCATGAGAATGTAAAGAGGAAGTCCTGCCATGGCATAAAGGCAGCAAGCTACCTTACTGTACCAAGTTGTAGGATGTAACACTCCATAACCTGAGGAGACTAACTTCAGTACTTACCTACTACTACTACCTACTACTACTAGAGTCAATATTTTGATCCGAGGAGGTGAACTTGAGTAGTAAATAATATTTGTATCACTTTTCTAGTTAATCATGCTATGGTTATCTAACTATCTATTTCGTTTTTATCATTATTTAACGATCGAATAGTTTCTTACCCACAGTAGTAACGACAGAAACACAGAAGTCAAACGCAGCCCAGAAAGACCACCTTTTTCTGGGATATTTGGTGATGTGACAGAGAAGTTCTGCTGCCCTGTTGTATGTCACTAGGTTTGAGGAGTTTTGTAGAATCGGGTATTTGGAAAACAACAGTTCTCGCTCAGCTAGCAGTATGATTGAGTTGTTTCGCTGTTCCTCTTGGAAAATATTGCATCATCTATAGCTTAGTTTAATTTAATTAAATTTTCAATCTTCACTTCACGAATTACGACATAAATGGGTACATTTTCATCGCTTAATATCAATAATTTTTGACAGATACTCGAAATTTTGACATTAAGACAACCTTGCATTTTTGGTTAGATAAAGTGAGAAAATCCTTTAGATACGAACCAAAGTATTGAGTTTGGAAGTAGTTAAAAGCATAGAACCCTCCTGTGAAATATCCAAAGTTTGTAAGTGTCACAGTTATTGTTCCCCAAATCACAAGAAGAGTTCTCCTCTTTATTAATCCACAGCAACAGGTTCTTTCATCCTTTATCGAAGTGTTCTCATCATTATTTCCTGTGTCGTCGTTTTCTTCTAAATCTATATTGCTTTCTCCAGTCATTACTGATAACACCGAATTTAATGATGATACTGAAATTAAAGCTTTAAGCTACTAATACTATTTGCAGCCGTTTCCCATAAAAAGTGGCCATGACCAATGACAATACTGTTTTTGGTGCCCCTCCGATCTTTTGATATTCAATTTCAAAACGTAGCTTTAGTCTAAATCTCAAAAAAACAGATCATACCAGTCTTAATACGTACCTAAAATGAAACGAGCTCCACTAGAGCAAACATATAGCAGAGTTGGTGAAGGACCGTACAAAAGAATATTTTGACAAAAACCCTATGGCAAGCAAAGTAAGCGGGTCACATTAAAGGCAGTAAAATCGGTAGACCCTTCCCCTATATTTGAAAAGCCCCTCCCTCTTTGTCAAAAGAGCGTGTAGGGCTCTTTGTGTACTTTTACTGAACAGATACATTCAGACCTTCAGGACAGTTCCGGACTGTCTTAATGTATCAAGATTCAAGAGTTTAACGGAGATTTGCGTCATTTGATGAGGTATACGTATTGTATTAATAACCCGAAGGTTTGTCCGTCTCATCAATGCCAAGTGAACTGATCATGACGTGGGATGTTGGGTCAGGAGTTGGAAATGAAGGGGAAATAGCGTTGAATTTCCGTGTGATGCCTAGACAGTACATAGTTAGGGCAAGAATTGCTGTTTATGGGTCAATCTGTGAACAAATTCGTAACAAAGGTTTGTCTACAGGAATGTGTTGTCCATAGTCCCAGGAACCACCAAAAAAAACCGTCCAGCTGAAACTTTTGGGCAAAAATTTTTATAGTCATTTTTCTCCAGGAACCCATACGCCCCACCCCTAATATTGGTTATTCGGCTCCCGAAGGTCTTGAGATCTTTATAGGAGGTGCAAAATGACCGCAATGGCCACATTATGGCAGGCGAATGATAGTTTCAGAACGATTGGAGCTTTATTTTTCGAAATAAATGGAATTTTTCGAATTTTTTCTCAATTTTATTGAAATTTCGAAAAAAAAACACCAAATTATTTTTAACGCTTATTTCAAATCTATTTAAAAACTTATCTACAAATAACAAATACAGTTAATCTAAAATGTGTATTCTCAGTAAGTACCATGACAATTATTAATACACAGTTAATATTAATCAAAATTCGCTTGTTCTTCAGGTTCATCATGTCTAATGTTTGTGCAGTTCATACCATGGCATCGTCCACAAGCTGGCAAACAATTGAAGCCATATTTCCTACATGAACATCTGAAAGGAGGAGGAGGAGGAGGAAGAGGAGGAAGCATCTAAATGTTATTTCAATTTTTGTTATTTTTTGTCCGTTTTTGTCCGTTTTTGTCCGTTTTATTTTTTGTCCGTTTTGAAAATATGGCTGCCAAACGGACAAAAACGGACAAAAAACATGATCCCCACCCCCCCTCCCCCCCCCCCCTTTAGAAGCAGAGTTATTTTCTCTGATAGATCCTGAATAGATTTAGTCTTAAAGTTAACACCTATATTTTCGTTCACACATTTGTTGATGTAACCTTCCAAGTCTACTAGTTCCTCGTCGTAAACTTCTTCCTCTATAATGAAACAACAAAGAGCGGCGTCGATCAGAAAGTGGGCTCTCAACGCTTTATAGTAAGATCCTCCATCCGATATATGCGTGACGTCTCCAGGATACACGAGTTTGATGAGCTCCTCTAAACCCGAGTCTGCCATTATATAGCCTATGCAGCCAAGAAAACTCGTGAGAGTGTGGAAGCCCCCAACCCTGACCACAATAGGCATCCCAGTTTCCAGTACTATTCGGGTGGCCTTAATCCACAATGGCAAATCGAATGTGATTATCATCGGCTCACTGTAGGATAACTTAAGACATTCAACCAGAGTAGCATGTACCGTCGAATAGCTGTCTGGGGGTTGGTCAATAATCTGTTGTTTGTTAGTTAACCTTGATATTTGTTAATTGAAGTTATTTCCCGAGTAAGATTTGAAATAAGCGTTAAAAATAATTTGGTGTATTTTTTTCGAAATTTCAATAAAATTGAGAAAAATTTCGAAAAATTCCATTTATTTCGAAAAATAAAGCCCCAATCGTTCTGAAACTATCATTCGCCTGCCATAATGTGGCCATTGCGGTCATTTTGCACCCCCTATGGAGATCTCAAGACCTTCGGGAGCCAAATAACCAATATTAGGGGTGGGGCGTATGGGTTCCTGGAGAAAAATGACTATAAAAATTTTTGCCCAAAAGTTTCAGCTGGACGGTTTTTTTTGGTGGTTCCTGGGACTATGGACAACACATTCCAGTAGACAAACCTTTGTTACGAATTTGTTCACAGAAAAATCAACTCTTGCCCTAACTAACAGTTCGACACGTACTGAAGGTGGACAGATGCGATCTCTAACGAACTAGAGGACACAAATTGAAACGAAAAATGTATATTATAAAGTTATAACCCTATATTTTCGAGGAAGCTGGACACAAAAAGCAAGTAAGGATTAAAATACTCTCGGGGTAAATTACTGAAGTAATCGAATAATGTTATTCATTACATCGGCTGAAATACTTGCTGTGTGTCTTACCAGGCGACACCAGTCTTTCTCTCTCCGTCAATTTCCGTTATTGTTACAATCAATAGTGCTATTACACGACGTACACAGAAGGAGTGTATTTTCTCGAAGACCAAATAGCGTGATCGAATAGTAACTTTGACGTGGGTGTCACGAGAGTTGTTCAGGCTAAGTGTTTATTTAGGAAGTGACGGAGTAGACATGTAAAACATATCCGAGTAAGGGGGACCTCGATAAGAATATAACTTATTGCTCTTTTCAAAAAATGTTCCGAATAATTTCAACAGAGAAACTGAAATTTTCGCTAGAATACCAAAATTCTAAAGCGTCGTGAACTGGAGTATGATATCATTCAGGTCCACAAAATTATATGTAAAGTTAGCGTAAGTTCCAATCATAAAGTGCGGTGACTCACGTCTCTCGATCAGTGACGTTTGATTTATCATGGGAACAATTAAGGTTGCCAAAGCAAAGAAGCGAATAGAAAAGGACGAACAATTATTAACAACATCTATCTCAGCCTAGCTGATCAGGTTAGTGTGTATGTCGTAAAAGGTAGGATAAGCAACTCCATGAGGCAATAAGACAATACAAAAAACTTAAAAGGTCTACATGCAAACCTCGTCAGATTTATTGCAATGTAATTGTACCTTGTACAAAAAGCTTAAATTCATAATGAAGAACAGTTTACATGTTATGTAATTGTACAAAAGAGCTTTTGATAATGAAGAACATTTTACATGTTATGTAATTGTACAAAAGAGCTTTTGATAATGAAGAACATTTTACATGTTATGTACATAACTGGATAACTTGATCAGGCAGTAAGGATAGTCGTGGGTTTGGTATTCTAAGTTCTGACTCTTGAGTGGAGTTCGAGATTCTGTGGTTTCATCTGATCTTGGAATACAGCTTACGTTTCCTAGTGAAAGACCCTCTGAAAATGGATCGCAAATTGTGCTGCTGAGAATATTGGTTCTAGAGGAAGGGAACTGAAGAAGCTGGTGAGGGAGAGTGGGAAGGTAGCAGCCCACTGTTTTAGGTGGATATACTTGTTAGAGAGTTAGAGTGGGAGTTGGAGTAAGGTTATGAGATTCTACAGAGCATTATATATAGACTCTAGAGGAGCCATTCACGTTAAATCTTGTCGCAAATTGCAAGCTCTAACAGGTATCTCAAGTAAATCTAGGGTTAGATGGTGGTCCATTTGTTGGACTGCTGGCCGCTGACAAGGAAACCGTAACATAATTGAAAGGCCCGAAACGGTGTCAGCTTTGTAGTTAATGTTCTTGATTCCTGATCCAAGAAATTAAACGTGTGTGCGAGAGAGATGAAAGTGAAAGAGTGAGGAACCTAGCCTTAGTCTTTTACTTTGAACTATTATATTCTTTTCTATTTATTTTACAAATAATAAGTAATTTCGATTCAATTCAGTTCAATTTCATTCAATTAATTTTCATTCAATTCAATTCAATTCAATTCGATTCAATTCAATTCAGTTCAATTCACTTCAATTCGATTCAATTTAATTTAATTTAATTTACTTTAATTTAATTTGAAACTCAATTCTAGTCTATTTTATTTTATTGAAAAAATATAAAAAGTATACAAATTTCTATTAAAAATTCAATTTATTCAAAACGAATTTTCGGAGAATGTACAACTATATGCTAGTTTCTTCTGTAACAGTTTTTGTGTCTGAAGAATGTCCACCGATTGAACCTATTTTTGACATCATTCCTGGGACGGAAAGCTTGTCAGTGAAGTCTCCCATAGTTCCTGGAACAGAAAGCTTATCAGTCAAGTCTCCCATTTCACCCATTGCAGCGTTAGCAGCCGCTTTTGTTGCAGCTTCAGTTTTCTCTTGCAAGTATCTCATTGTTTCCTCTGATAGTTTCGAGTATGTTTGGAATGCGTAGGAGAAGAGGGCAAAACCAAAAGTCACTGATGAAAACAACATTGCAGCCTGAAAGTCACATTGTGGTTTGAGTTGATAGGAATTAAATATAAAATTTATTTAACATAATATTGTGAAT